TCTATTTATGTTCTGTTCCTCGGAATCAAAGATGTAGATCTATTTTATCATTAAACGTCATGTAGTATTTTGAACTGTCAATAAAAGAGTTGCCAATTTTATAAGAGAATTATTCTGGGTTAATTTTCATAATTGTGAATTTACTATCATTTACTATTATAAGATTATCTTAATCCTTATTCCTAAACAAAAGTCTAACGGCACCGTGGAAAATTGGTTTGCATTCTATAAACTTAGCCGCATTTCTATACTTAGGCTTCAAATATGGTGGCAAAAAAGATTTATAGATGGCTTTAGATGCAACAAAATACGTCTCTCACTAAAAATTTGTAATAACCTGGGGCCGGTTGTACGAAAGGTGGATAACTTATCCAACGGATAAGTCCTATCCAACGGATAAATATGCTATCCAGTGGATAGTTATCCATTGGATAAAATCGTGTTGCACGAAGCGTGGATAGTGGAGTGGATAGCTATCCAATGGATAAGTTAAAAATTACCCGGAGAAAACAGGATTATCCTGAAATTTCGTACCACAACGTCAGCTGTTGCTAAGCATTTATAACATTGAATCATTCTGAATTGTCGATTAGTTACTGATTAAGTGATTTGCACTTCACATACTAGCGATTTTATTCAACACATTGCAATTTTATTCCTTGACCTTGCAGGCTTTGCCCTTCGGTTCCATAATAAATTTAGGAACACTATTTTAAAGTTTTGATTGGCTAATCATAGCGAAGAACAAAATTCGTAGCCTTGTTGTCTTTACTTGTCTATTACGTGATTGAAATTGCTTAGATATTAGCAAGTTTCCATGGAATAGGTTTAATTTTCTTTGCATATTCGCTTTTATAAACTGGTTAGAAGTATATAATAAATTTACCGCCTGTTATCATTGTGAGGATGTCCAGAAAAACGCCGCTCGGAACGGAATGTGTAAACGAAATGAAATGCTGCTGCGACAAATATAACAATGGCTGGATTTCACTTCGAAAACAGTTTTAATAGTGAGTACAATCATGTACATTAGTTTGTTGAAACACAGTAATAGGAAACTTGCTTTTTTGTCCTTTTTCATCGTAAATGTTTACAGTTTTATCTTGTATCTTCGAGTTTATCCACTGGATAGTGGATTTAAACTACCTCCGGACCTTGGATAACTTTATCCAACGGATAGGGGTTTTTATCCGTTGGATAAATTTATCCAAGCTTCGTGCAACGCAAATTTCACGCTGGATAAAAGTTATCCGTTGGATAGCGACTTATCCACCTTTCGTACAACCGGCCCCTGGTGTGTAGTCTCAAAATGGCAATTGCACAGCAGCCAGCTGTTATTATGAAGATTGTAGAGTACAGCCTTGTACCCAGGCGCTTTAATAGTAAAAAAATAATGTTGCATTCAGTTATTGTATAGAGGTCAGCTAAAAAACACGAGGGCGCTTGGAGTGGTTTTGCTAAATTTAGCGCCTGGCAGAAAATGATTTCAACATGTAAACAATCAAATGAATTATACAATATAATACAATACAACATAATTATATACTATAATTACTTGAATTAGATTCAGGTTTTTACAGATACACCGGTTTTTAAAAATGTTATAGGTTGATTAATATTGAACATTTCATGTTACAAATTATATTCGATAAGTATCACGTATGGAATCTATTTACTTTTGAATTCATATCGCGTTGAATTCGTCATCGGATTATTAAACCTGTAAACAAAGGAATATGAGTTTATCTCAGTTTGTGTCATGAACAGAAACCTCTTAATATGTTGTAAATGCGCTCGCATTTCCCAATAGTGAATATGTAAATACGGCAGGCGATTATTCGAGTACTCTACGAATATAGTCACTCCGACGGAAAATATTTAAATAAAAGTACCTTCAGATGATTCTTCGCCAAAGGAAACGTTTATAATACTTGGCTAGCGCATCGGCAGTCGATCCAGTAAAAAATATATATAATGAAAATAAAACTGCAAAATACAAGCGTTTTCCAGAAATCGGTCACGATTTGCCAGAAATCGATCATTTTCTTCCAGACGCTTCCTCGCAAAAAAAGCACCCCTGCGCGCTTGCTATTTTCTGCTGACCTCTATATAAGACCTGAATGCAACGTTATATATTTTACTATTAAAGCGCCTGAGTACGAGGCTGTGTAGAGTGCGTATTAAGAAGGATATTTGAACTCGTTTTAACTTATTCTGTAGCTTCACTGAGCAGAGCAAAACAGAAATGCACAAGTGTGAACCAGTGATGAGTTATAGGATTTCATAAACACCAGGGGCCGGTTGTTCGAAAGGTGGATAAGTCGCTATCCAACGGATAAGTCGCTATCCAATGAATAAGTTTTATCCAGCGTGTGATTTGCGTTGCACGAAGCTTGGATAACTTTATCCAGCGGATAAAAATCGCTATCTACCGGATAAATTTATCCAAGGTCCGGAGGTGGTTTAAATCCACTATCCAGTGGATAAATTCAAAACATTTATATAAAATAAGAAAAAAAACTGCCATATTCCTGTTACTGTGTTTCAACAAACTAATACACATCATGATTGTATTCACTATTAAAAATGTTTTCGAAGTGCAATTTGTCGCAGCAGCGTTTCACGTTGCCTACACATGCCGTTCCGAGCGGCGATTTTTTGGAGATCCTCGCATTTATAACAGGCGGTAAATTTACTATACGCTTCTAATCAGTTTATAAACGCGAATATGCAAAGAAAGATTCAACCTATTCCAAGGAAACTTGCTAATATCTAAGTAATTTCATTCACGAACATTAAAATAGTGTTCCTAAATTTGCTATGGAACCGAAAGGCAAAGCGTTGCAAGTCAAGGGAATTAAAATTGCAATGTGTTTGATTAATAAAATCACTATGATGTGAAGTGCAAAGTTCGAGCAAATCACTTGTTCAAGTCTTTTCCATTCAGTAACTATACTCGAGAGAAAATTCGTAATGATTATGAATTCAATGTTGTAAATGCTTAGCAACAGCTGACGTTGTGTACGAAATTTCAGGATAATCCTGTTTTCTTCCGGTAAATTTTACCTTATCTATTGGATAGCTATCCACTTCACTATCCACGCTTCGTGCAACGCATTTTTATCCAATGGATAACTATCCACTGGATAGCAGATTTATCCGTTGGATAGGACTTATCCGTTGGATAAGTTATCCATCTTTCGAACAACCGGCCCCAGAATTCTAACCATATGTTCTAACCTAATTTAAAACTAATTAAGTAAATGAGTAAAAAACTTATTCAGTTGACGTCATTTAGGGCACAAAGCCCGTGTATTTGTTTCAGTTACATCTGATCATAATTTAGCTTCATTTTATATACTTAGTTCAACTTGTTTCAATATTAGGACAGGGCGAAGTGAATTTCTTTGCGTTATCCGTAGTCGTATGTTGGTTTCCGCCGTTAAGAGACACTATTCAGTATTATGATCAATTTACAATGTATTATAAGTTCTTTAATTTTCAGTCAATAATCTAATCCATTTATCCTAATCAAACGCAATCATTTTAGAATGTATTAATAAACGTAGGTAAGAAAATCTTTTTGGTGTTAAACGTGCTTTTGCCAATTGGAAACAAATACCGAATGTTTGCATATCTTGAATATAATAAATTTATGTAATATAATCCGGGGACATACGTTCGCGGAAAATTCTATCAAACCTATGTGTTGATAGAGATTAGTATTTCGCATTCAGGCGCTCTATATTGTCTCGCTTTTTGTTATATACATCGAAAGGTTCACACCAGCCGACAATCGCTTCAACGTGTTGAACAGCGAGTTTTAGTGAAACCAAGTTTCCTGGGGAAGACGAACAACAATTCAAAAGGTTTGATTTTACTTACTTCTGCCTTGTCAATAACAGCCGGTAGCCGGTAGCCAGCCTGACAATTTAGTTGTTTGTTAATTTTTATAATTACTCATTCAGTTCTAAGAAATTCATAGTTTTCACAGTCGATGGACAATAAAGGCATAGTGGATTAATCGTCAGGCTGGCTACGCTACCGCTTCTGGCGTGAACTTCCATTTTTTCCATTGGTATGAGTATACGGCTGATGGCCCGAATGTAATGTAGTCTGAATAAAATCGGTCATTGTTAATGCACACCCGCAGAGAAATAGTTTTAAAATATAACTCTCATCGTAGAACAAGAACGAACGAAAGCTTCATTAGTATCATTAACGCCGAGTTTAACGGCATGTTGTAAAATATGGACGTGTGCACTCGAAAAACACTTACTCGGTTAGTAATTTGTAAAACACTGACTCGGTGATTTTTAAAACACTGACTCGGTCAGTGATTTGTAAAACATGGACTATATTATAATTCCTACCAGGAATTATTATATAGCTCAGAGGTTTCTCGTTTCTGGCGGGAATTAATCCTTGCCAGATCAGTGATCGTAGCGCAGTAAATATTAAATCACAGTTGCATTGAAATTTACAGATATAAGAAAAAGCAACATGACGTAAATCGTGCATATAGAGGTTAGGCTTAATAAGTGACGAAAGCCTGACTTTTACATATTGGACCGAGTTTGCCGAGATTGGTAAATTTAGGTAAATTTTCACTTTCCACAGTTTTAACATATTTTATGTTACTACATTCAATCTATTGGCTTGGCTAGAATTGTTACCCTTATCTAACTGGTACCCATTAAAATTGCATGAGTGCAGTGTAAACGAGTGAAATTACTACATTACTACAGGCTAGCTGCCAGGCTTTATAAGGCCTATATATAGATCGCTCTTGATTGAGCATATTCCCATATGTATATCTCTTGTGTAAATCAAATGTCTGAAGAGTAGGCAAATCGATCTCAGATCCATACTTGGCATGAATAAAACAAAAATTTCAAAACTGTGAAGTGTTAAAAAACAAAAATATTTCTGATTCTGTTTATTCTTCAACAGCAGCCGGTCTGGTTATCATCCTATTCAAGAACGTATTGCGCAATATAATGGCAGTCAGTGTGGTTTTTGCACTCCGGGAATGGTAATGAGTATGTACGGGTAAGATGTCTGTGCGCATTTTTGGCGTACAACTAGGTAGATCGTATATGATATTAATCATTGCCGGATCTAGGATTAGGCGGAACAAACCAAAAGGAATTAATTTCAATTTCAAAATAAAAAATATCTTAATAACAACGCTATTGGTTATGGATTTCTGAAGAACGTATTTAAGTAAAAATCTACCAATGCGATTGCGACTTGAGGTTGTATTAATATATTCTGCCTTAAGGCGGATATCGATTTCTATTCAGTGTTAACGTCGTGCGGTATATTAGAATATGGGATATTCAACGTTGATATGGTCGAATAAATCGGAATATGGTACATTCGACCTTGGTATCTACAACATACCGGAATATATATCCGACCTCGATAAGGTCCAATATACCGGAATATGTACCGCATAGTGGTGTTGAAGCATGGTTCTAAACATCGCATCAGTCAGCAGAAATGGTTCCGCCCCTGTCTGCCTACGTGACTACCTACCTACCTACCAACCTGCCCGCCAGCGCATGTCTTCATGCCTGCCTTGCTGCGTATTCATTTACTTGATTACCATTTTTCATGCCTGGCTGCCTGACTACGTAACTATTCATCTGTCTAACCAACTACCTTCGACCATCCATGTGTACCGTAGGAACAATCCCTCTAAAAGAAGTGTCTAATATTTCTCTTTTTCATTAGTTTCTCTTTGTTACCAAACTCTTTGTACCCCAGTTCTGCAGTATAACTAATCAGCACTACTTTATTCTCATTTCTTTTTCGTAAAGCTTACTCTCGAAAAATGCTCAACCGACTAAGCAAGATATTGAAGATGGTTTTGATGGCAACTTATGTCGTTGTACAGGTTAAAGATATTTTTGAAAATAATTATTATCCGGCAGAATAGCTGAAGTATATTCAGGAAAATAGCTGCTGTACTTGGGCAAAAAGAATAGCGAGTTAACCTACATCGAGCTGTGAAACAGTGCTGTTTGAATTTTTATATACAGTTTCTCTGGTTTAATGGCTCGTCAATAACTCTGGGGGATTATGGATTTGTTGCAATCCAATGAACATCAGTATCGTTAATGCTCATAGGCGTACGGGCGCAACTTCGTTTGGGAGGGGAGGATCGCACTTTTAATTGTTTTACAATGTACCCGAATTTTAACTTTTACCAGATTTGTAACAATATACTTCATTTTATTTGGTTTAGGTAGCTGCCCGCCATGTCCTTCTGTCCCCCTGGCCCCCTGTACCCCCATGTTGACATTAATCGTGAATTTTACTTAACGTTTAGGTTTCCGTCCCATACTTGATGCGATGAAATCATTTGCAAAAGATGAAAATCCCATTGATATTGAGGTAAATAATATCTTGCTTAATCAACTAGCTATAACCATAGCTAGAAGCTTAATTGGGAGAGGGGGTGTATATTCATCTTATGCCCGGCTGATTTCTTTTGTACGCTATTGTTTCTGCGGTAGATAGACATGAATATATGAATACACCCCCTCCCCCAATTAAGCGGTTTACCTACGGCCCTGGGCGTAACTATAAGCTTTTGATGTCTTTCCCACTTGTTTCACTCTCAGTCAACTTGAACACACGAAGATACCCTCATCATGTGTGTTTCAAGGCTAGGTTACACTGTCAAAGCTCTTCGCTTGCCAATAAAGCAGAGTTATTAATGTTGCAAAGAGCAATTTCCAAGCAAAATGTAGACCTTATAATCACCATACTTTTACTCATGAAATTTTCCCAGAGCTGGGCTGCTATCATTCGTCTTTGTTAATAAGTTATCTCCGAGTGGTACCTGCGAATCCTTTGCAACTGTATCCATGAGGGTGAAAAATTCAGATGTAATATGTTATCAAACTATTTCCAGGACCTTCACAGATGTCAAAGAAAATGCTGTGATGAGATTAAAACATGTCACGGTTGCTGCTTCAGTGAGGGAGAAATATCTGCACGCCCGTTATGGTTTGAACCTATATCTCTGAAGGATCTCTATACGGTGCTGGATGCACATGACACCCAAGTCATCAGATTCGTTGTTGGCAACACTGGAAAAGGTAGTTATTTGGAAAATTATAATTCGTCTTAGAAAACTCCTTGTAAATAATGCAATCGAAAGCTTTGAGAACTTATTGATACCTGGCGTCGTAAAAAATTATCATTATACTTTATTATTAAAGGGATTAATTACCAGAAACTTACGACTTGCCATATATTTCAGGTGTTTACAAAGACGATAGTAATTATGATGTTTTCATTAATATTGCTGATGTGCCCGAATTGAATACCGTACAGGTAATTTAGTTTACGTAGTTTATGATATAAATTGTTAGGTCGCAACTCAAAACTTTAATGAACAGGACCTTCTAATTTCAACACAGGCAGCCCGGTCACTGCTGTTACGTCATGCTATTATATATGTATATAATTACAATAAGGCTGGCAACTCTCTCGCAAAAAATTTAATACATACATTAATACCATCGCTTAAAACAAAAATACTACGCTAGTTTCTTAAAAAAAACAGATACAAAACACCTTGGATATATTGACTATATTTATCTGTCATTTTTAGACTTGAAAAAAACTCTAAAATGCTCAAATTTTGCGAATTAAAAGTGTATTTTCGTTGAAATTTTGCGAAACAGAGGCGGGATATAGTTTACTCGACAAACGTCATCATCGGAGAATTCGTCGGCAAATTTCTGATTGGCTGTGGCAAGTTCGGAAAAAAACGAAGATCTTTCTTCTCCATTGAGTTGACCTTCGTAATTTTCCGAACTTGCCACAGCCAATCAGAAATTTGCCGACGAATTCTCCGATGATGACGTTTGTCGAGTAAACTATATCCCGCCTCTGTTTCGCAAAATTTCAACGAAAATACACTTTTAATTCGCAAAATTTGAGCATTTTAGAGTTTTTTTCAAGTCTAAAAACGACAGATAAATATAGTCAATATATCCAAGGTGTTTTGTATCTGGTTTTTTTTTAAGAAACTAGCGTAGTATTTTTGTTTTAAGCGATGGTATTAATGTATGTATTATATTTTTTGCGAGAGAGTTGCCAGCCTTATTGTAATTATATACATGTATAATATCATGACGTAACAGCAGTGACCGGGCTGCCTGTGATTTCCACATGTTGACTGCATGCCATCCATCTCGGCATTATTCTAAACCAGCTTTTCGTACTTTACAAACTTTACCCCCCTAATGGTAGTAATCGAATCCCTAAAACCTAAACTCCATAATCCCTGTGAAAAATTTCCTTAGACCCAAACTCCAATAATCTCAGATATCTTTACTCGTCATAATTCCATTCATTCAAATCCTATAATCTTAGTAATTCAATCCATAAAGACCTAAATTTCCCAATCTCAGCACTTCAATCTCTAAAACTTTGTTAAGCTCTGTAATTCTAATCAAATTGTATGAAATTTAATTCCTGAAAACTCGCACATCATCAAGGTCTTTCCACCCTCAGACCTGGAATAGGCTTGCATTGCTTTCAAAGTACTTTATCTATTTTCTAAAATACAAAGTTATATGACCCCTCACGTACGCCTTTTTTTATAAATCTAATGCACTACAGTTAACACACCAATTCATTGAGTGATATTACCAGTGGAATAGAAGTTGATTTTCAGTTTACGCTTTGCTATTCAGGTAACTGAGACATCTTTGCAGCTTGGCGCTGCGCTCTCTCTAAACAAGATGATCGCAGAGCTGAGGAATAACTCTTCCAAATCCAAATCATTTGAGATTCTTGCATCTCATATCAAGAAGGTGAAGTGAAATATATATTTCCTTTCATGAAATTATGAACGATAAACATTTAAGAGTATGCACACCCCCCGTCCTAATTATTGTGCTAACTATACTACGGTCATGCGCATGCGTCGGAAGTGCAATGAAATTATTAGAGCTTTAAGGCTATAACTGCCCTTCCAGCAACTCGGACCACGATACATAACTAGTTGATACTTGATAATAAACATGTGATACGTAAATAGATTTCTTTCTTAATTTTCGTAGATTGCCAACGTTCCAGTTAGAAATGTGAGTAAATAAAACAGTTGGAAGAAATATCATGCGTAATTAAGAATGTTTATTTGGGGTGTTAACTTGGTTTGCTGTTCTAAAAAGAAGTAATCATTTCTGAAATCATACACCTAAATTGTACATTTAATTTTGTTTCCACTTAGTAGAGTAATCGAATTTTAGGAACAATCATTTTAATTTTCTCTTCTATTATAAATAGGTTGGGTGCTGGGCTGGAAATCTGATGATGATTCACAAGCATCGTGATTTTCCGTCAGATATGTTCATAATAATGTGCGCTGTTGGAGCCACTGTTGTTATTGGTAAAGATTAAAGACCCAATTCTTCTCCGAAACCGTTTTTTTTCAAAAATGTTTCCTTTTAGGTAAAGTTGATGGGTCGACCCAGCCCTATTGTTTGGAAGACTTTCTAAACGTTGACATGCGTAACAAGGTAAGCATTAGTGATAATAACGATAATAAAATCTGCCCCTAGTCTAGTGATTTCAATAAGTCCTTGTTATATCGGAACTCTAGCAGACTGCAAGTTTACCCAATACTATCACCAAAGTCATAACACTAAAGGTGCATCGATTTTAAAACAGTAAAAGGATCACGTTTTAGCTTTAAGTTGTGAAGGGCATAAGGAGGTCAGCTTGTGAAAAGAAAATTTCCTTTAATGTACAGTTGCTTTATAGTTTTGAATGCCAGAGGTGGACACGCAACGAAGAGAAATGGTTGACTTCTATAAACACGATAACGGGCCAAATTTTATTTAACGCTAAAACGATGGGATTGCTTTTTTTTTCTTTAAATATTTTTATCCCAGGTGATCCTTAGAATCGATATTCCGTTTACTGCCAGTGATGAATTTGTAAGAACCTTCAAAATCATGCCGCGACACCAGGTATTTAGTTTCGTCTAAAATCATAGCGATATTCGTCTTGTGTAGGCTCTGATTTCTTTTGAGGGTGATTACCTTTACGGTTAAATGGAGTAGTCTAGTTTTCATGATTCAAACCGCACAGTATTAACTGGGGGTAATGCATATTGCTATTTAGTATAAATTTCGAGGTGACTATTAATTTTCCTGCATCAGTCTGATTGGATTCTACTCCTGTGGAAAACAACCTGTGGGTCCGTTTTTTCAAATATAAAGTTTGAAGTAATTGTAAATTTTATGAAGTTGTGTAGATTGTTATTTGTAAATACAAACACATCGAAATTTATTGGAGCGAGTTATCCCGACTCGGCGAGATAAATAGCGCATCACATCAAAGGCTTAACCTGATTAGTCTAAAAAGACTTTCATTATATGCAGTGTTCATCTCGCCTACCCGGGATTACTTGCTCCATGTAAACAGACCCTAATGCTTCCACCCATCGCAAAATCATCTCGTGACCTCGCTGCGATTGCTTGCTTCTAATTAAAAATAGTATTTTTTGCGATGAGTGGGCGAGAGCCCAAGTGTCTTAACGACGGTCCCCATGTGGAAACGTGGAGATGCTTTTTGTCAATGTGTTTTAGGCAGTTGTGGTGCCGCATCAGCCTCGTACCCAGGCGCTTTATTGGAAAACATAAAGGCTGCATTCAGCGTAATATAGAGATCTGTGGCTGAGATGTGCGAGCGCGCAAGGGTGCTTGGGGAGGACGCGACGGGAGAACGAAGCGCCTGGCAGAATATGCAGATTTCCGGCTCCCATTTTTGCAAAAAGTGAGAAATGCGTGAAGACTACAATATGTAGATATATTTTGAAGAAGAATTGAACCTGCGATCAAAATTATGGATGATTTGGAACGATCGTTTCAAGAACTATCATTTGAAGGTAGCTTTATACTGAATTTTTTTATTTTAATACGACTATTTTGACAAATCTCGTTTCGTAAACACAGTCGCGCAGTATTTAACACCATTTAAATTCATCTTAATTTCCTTAAAAAGTATCATCAAGCTTGGAGGAGGAAAGGTATACGTTTGGTATCGAAGAATTGAGTATTAGAGGTGAGTGCTTAGTTGCCTTGGGATTTAAATATTTCCTCTATTGATATTAGTTAAACAATAATACATTTTTATTTTCATTCTATATCAAATATGCTATCAAGTTGCAATTTATATGCCTGTTGCTAGTAATATACAATAACAAACTCCAGGTCAGATTGTTACCAGCACCCTACAGATAGAGGAAGGAAAAGAATCATTTCAGCAGGGAAACATGCTTTAACCCCAATGCTTGGAGTTTGTGTGAATTTAAGAATAAACATAAGTAAATATTATATATCAAGACTCAATTGTCAGAGATTGGGGCTGTTATTCATAAATTATACATATTTGTGCTTTTCATAGGTAGTGGAAGATATAAATCACCAAATTTATGCTCTGAATTAGAAAGGTTGTTGGACTATTGTGAAGACTCCAATGTCCTGAAAAACAGACATTATTAATGAGTTTACATGGCATTCTGATAATAAAAAGAATACTTTGACTCGGGGAATTAAAGAAATTTTCCCACATTCTACAAAAAAGAAAATAGTTGTTGGATGTGAAAATATGTATCTCCTTTTGAGAGTATAATGTAGTAAATAGGACTATGGAACAATATAATTTATACATGTATTATAGTAATTTCTTGGAATACTGTACACAACCTTCATCTACATTGTGTGATGTATATAAGTATATTGCTGTAGGGATGAATTAAGTCTATTGTTTGCTTTGTGGACTGTGGTACACCAGTTGAATTTCATGTACAGTACAGTATACCAAAGAGTGTTGGTGTTATAAAGGAATATTAATGAATTACTCTCTACATAGGTTTCAATAGTTAATTTTTCTTAACATTTAATACAGTTATTTACACTAATTTGTTAATGAAACCACATGGTAGTAAACCATAATATTTCTGTAATGCAGAATGATAATATTTCTGTAATGCAGAATGATAATATTTCTGTAATCAGGAATGAACTTAATGTAATGGAAAATAGCTTAGATAAACAGAATCAACTGCTGCTATTACTGCATTAGATGATGGAAACATTGAACTGGCTAATGAGCTTAAAAAAACTTAGATTCAAATTGAACTCAGCATTGATAAAAACGTACCAGGTCAAAGTCAAAATTCTTAGTGTTTCTGGAGGTGTTAAAATAACAGATTGCCAAGAAAACCAAATTAATAAAGAAGTCAAACAGATGGAAGAAATGTGCAACCTAAATCTGATGTAAATCATTGCATATTCGAGTAGATACTCTTCTTTCAGCGCTCGTAAATAACTGTTTGCGCCTTAATATTCGAAAATGATGAATAATACAACGCAGTGATAATTTTTGCACAAAATCTTTCCCAAATGTACCGCCCGGTGATAGGGTGTACGGCAATTTGCTCATTTGCATCTATGAAATATATGAATAAATCGTCCGCCGGCGCCATATTTGTTGCATATTCTGCCAGGCGCTTCATTTGTCGCGTCCTCCCCAAGCACCCCTGCGCGCTCGCACATCTCAGCCACAGATCTCTATATTACGCTGAATGCAGCCTTTATGTTTTCCAATAAAGCGCCTGGGTACGAGGCTGGTACCGCATTCTGAAATTTTATATCGCTTTATTCCTACATTAGAATGCGCATGCGTACGCCAATGCTGGATTCAAGGTCACGATGGACTCAACCTATATTATAAAGGGAATTCCAAGTTTAATGTTTGGTGGTGTGAAGCTTTCTCCGGTAAGTATGATGAATTGTCAGTTGTGTGAAGTCTGCTTAGTGTCACCCCCGTACTGCACATACAAACGTATATTTCTACTCCCGTCGCAAACGTACAGTAAATTGATAGTGGATCAACATGATAAGTAATTTAAGAGTAATTTAATTCAGCTAGAAGATTATGCAAGGGAGGATACACGGACAAAATTAATTTATCTCTACTTAGGGTATAGTCAAGTTCGTATGGTTAAATTTTGAACTTCCATACTTTTTGAAATATGTTGTATATATTATAAAGACGTAGTGAACCTAAGCGGTATTAGCTATTTAGACACTACAATGTATTTTAAACATTAAACGTACAACGTATTCATTTAAATGAATATAAACTAATTGCTATGTTACGTTCAGGAAGTATGGGCAAGTTTTACATCAGAGGACCTGATATTGTTATGAGCAGAACCGATGCGCAGAACGAAATTTACTTCCACTTTAATTTATATTTAAAATTTTCTTCAGTTTCGGGCAAGTGGTACACAGCAATATCTTTCAGGAAAGAATATTCTTGACTCAGAAACATTAAAAGGTAAGACGTTAATAAATACACTAGATGAGGAAAGGATCTCAAAGTCTCCGCCGCTTTCATACGGTAAACAGGTTATCACTCAAGGTATCTCAAATACGTTTTATTCCTAATTACGTTGAAGTACGATGTGAGAATTAAACCAAGCCATTGATAACAATTTTTTATACCCAACGCGGTATATACTAAATAGGTTGTATGAATGCATTGGATAAAGAAATGATACCAGAATCAACACCACTCACTGCAAGTGCTGAATATCGCAAGAGTTTGGCTCTTTCTTTGTTTTATAAGGTAAGACAACTTATGCTATACCCTTTAATCTCAAGGTTGGTGTTTATCAGATAAAAACAAACTTTTACAGGTACTTTATCGACCTAACTGATAAATTGGCGGATGTTTCGCTATAAACTTTAAATCGAATATACTTTCTCAAAGGACTCACAAAATGCTTCAGTCCTCGCTTATCTTCATTACTTTAGTTTATTTTCTCACAGGGACAAAACCTTGTAACAAATAATTAATGTGCTTTTTCCTGGCGCCTTGTAACGAAAAAATCGGTTTATTTTCTGTTTGTAAGCACTCCTCTTCACGTTGTAAAACATAATTTTGAAATTCCATGCCGTTATACGACCAAATAAAAGCTATACTGTATAGACTCAAGAATCTAATTATTGAAACACTAGATCTCGTTTATAATGGAATAATTCTGTATTTCTTTTTATTAGTTTTATCTTAGTCTTCTTGGTGATAAAGCAAGTTCCAGAGTGATTTCTGCTGCTGTTCCGTATGTAAGACCGATATCTTCAGGACAACAAAGTTTTGGTACAACTCCAAGTGAATTTCCTTTGACACAGCCCATGATGAAAACCACTGCAAAATTACAGGTAACTGCAATTTGATAGTTTTTACTTTGCGAGTACGAAGTATCCTTACTCTTATACTTTATTTATTCATGATTTTACAGCATAATATTAAATGAATAAAATGCTGTAAAATGAATATAGATACCTTTCAATATATAACGAGGGAGCAAGCGTCTTCAAACAACTTAGCATCAAATGTGGTATAACAACTGCCTAAAATAGACAAGAACGCTTCTCGACGTTTCGAGCTGAAGGCCTTCGGTCCTAAATATATCAAAGGCCCTCAGGTCGAAACGTTGAGAAGTGTTCTTGTCTATTTTAGGCAGTTGTTGTACACATTTGATGCTAAGTTATAAAATGAATGAATAAATGTTTAGGCATCAGGCGAGGCTCAATACACAGATGATATACCCAGGCAAGAGGATGAAATTTATGGAGCATTTGTTACAACAACACAGGTAATAATTTGGACAGCATGCGAAAACTGCAAATTAATATCGAAAAGTCGAGTATCATTCTTATACTTTTCTGTTATATTTCGTTGTTGAAGGGTAACTGTAAACTATCGAATGTTGACGTATCTGAAGTCTTGGTAAGAAAACTTATCAACCTGTTTATTCGTGACATGGAAATGTCGGTAAACGGTTGTAATATTGATTATATTAGTTGAAATAATGCAATCGTTTATCGACATTTCCAAAAAATTTAGCAGCAGTAATATCGGTACAGTTAAGCCTGGTTTCCATATGGCACCGACCTGTCGCCGACTCATTGTCTGTAATCATTCAAAGAGAAAATGATTTCACTCATCAATAATCACCGACAATAATACTTTGCCGACGTTGGCGTCATATGGAAACCAGGCTCATAGTTCCAGTCATGGCATCAGCAAGAATTGTAAACAGAATCAGCGGTAGTAGCCTGCGCCGCAGACCCATGCCCGAAATAGAAAGGCGGGGAAAAATATTTTTATTATTCCACTCTAAACCAATCAAAGCTTTGTTGATCGTGAGTAACCAATTAGGCTTCGTAATTAAATATGTAGCCAATCACACAGCGTCCCCCAGATTCTGGGGATAAATAATTATAGAACACGGAATTTGGCGCTGTTACATAGACGGTATTTCCGCCATATTCCGTCTATGCGTAGACTACAGCGGTAGTTGATCATCAGAGTTTGGTTGTGATGTCCCTACGTTTTCCTAAGAAACAAATATCGCAACTTCAAGTTACTTTAGCTACAGTGGTGCAGTGTGCGTAAGCGGGATCTCTTACAGAATTTCGAACATTGGATGATGATAAAAAGATGGTGATGCAAATTAAATTGGTAGCTGAGGCCATATTGGAGGTTTAATTTCGTATACTACGCATGCGCTGGTTAACCATGCAATCCACAAGCAGATATCTTTCATTTAATCGCACACGGAAAGATTTCGGCACGCGAGGCAGTAATCATCAAACAATCAATGATACATATCAATGATATTTGCCGTAAGTGGCACCATGACCAAAGTCGCCGGAAACGTCGCCCGCATACGAGAACAACTGGCTTACGCTAATGGCCACGAAAAAATTTTTGCTAAGCACATAGCTCTGTTGTGCGCCGGCCTTTAGTTCAACGACATATAGTATTGCAAGCTCAACAGTGAATGACCAGTCTTTTATTTGTTTCAGAAATTGCCTGGTGTATTGAAATATATTTCTGCGAAAGATATTCCTGGTGAGAATGATTTTGTTCCTGATATCAAGGGCAAGGAAAAATTATTCTGCGAGTGCGATGTAGAATATGCCGGCCAGGCGGTTGGAATGATTATTGCAAGTACGTATAGTCTTACTTGGCAATGTATAAATGATTTTATTGAGCCAATCCCACACCTGACGTCATTATACTGACAGTTAGCGAGTTAAAGATTAATCTAAGATGGCTGACAATTCATGAGAACTGTAATGTAATTGTATTACAAGCTAACGCATTACAAGAACCTAACCGGATCGATAATCTTTACCGATTTTTTTGTTCTTGCCATTGTCCTTTAAGTTTCTTTCAACACACTGTTCGTGAAATGATATTTACTAGTTGTATTTGTGCCATGATTTCAAGTTGACTCACAAGAATATTCTAATAGATATTATACGCCTAATTTTGACATTTTTTATTTAGTGAATAACATTGTTCTATAAAGCGCGCACAAAATCGCGTCGTGTGCGAAAATAAGTACGAAAATATCTTATGATCATAATTATTAACTAGTGAGCCAGAGCTTGGCCGATGAAGCTGCTGAGAAGGTGAAGATAACGTATTCCGACTGCAAAAAACCAATCATATCAATCCAAGACGCAAATTGAAGCCTATCCTTTTTCTCAGAACAAATTGTAAATGAAACTTTTGGCGATGTTGATGGTAAGAGTGCAATTGTCTTCAGAATACGTGGCAGGAAATGTAACATTGCTGTTAGTGTATAGAAAAGCGCGTTACTGTAAATAGATTAAAAGTAGATTGAGTTAGACTCAATGTGCGGGACTGAGGAATGGTAAGATACCACGATTGCTCGTGTTTCAGTAGGATATTGAGGAGGGCATTCAGGGGGAAGAAACGTACTTTTCGTTTAAACTATAAGGCATGCATTTTCGTGGAACTAACATACTAATTGTAATATTGCTTATATGCTGGATCTTTTTATCCATTTTTCAGTTAGGTATTTTAATATTTCATTGTTTGCTCGTACGCAAGGCGTTGTTATAGCCTGCTTTGAGTGCCGTCATTGGTGCCCAAAATCAAAACTGTTTCGTAAAACATGCATCTAACTGATCTAAGCTCAGTGGCCAATTTCATTTGGAAGTTTTGTGTTCAATTTATAGGCGCCATTGAAATGAAGTGGAGTGGAATGACAGTCTGTAACGCCCTTATATTTTATGTTTTATTCAAAACATTTCATCGTTCATTGTTTATGGCTTTGCATGTTTCCAGGAGCTATGGCATCATCAACCCATATTGTCAGCGGAGAAATTTCAGTTGGCACCCAGCATCACTTTCACATGGAAACACACGTTTGTATTATTTTATTCAATTAATCAAGTACTTAGAATAAATTTAAACTTAGTAGCAGTTTGCCCGTCCAAACTTACCAGAATTTTTTGAAATATTTTTGAAATAGACGTGTCTGTGTATCCCAAGTGAAGAAGAGATGAAGGTCTACGCTTCAACACAATCTACTGAGACCACTCAGATTTCAATAGCTCAGGTTTTGAATATACCTCAGAACAGGTATTACTATTTAACAATTACTCGTCTCAGGCTCAGTGATATTTATTTCGATTGGCCGAAATGAAGATTGGCCGAAATGAAGATTGGCCGAAATGAAGATTGGCCGCGTGGGAGAATAAGTCTCCCGAAAAAACCGGACCGAATTAAAGATTCTCGCTTTTTCTTGAGTAATAAAGATAGCAACGTTTTGTTGAACGTCATTTTCAGTGTCCTGATAATACTTTTAGTTGATTACTTCTTTCGCTCTTCGACTAAAAAAAGGTGCAAATAAGAAGAATTATTATGCATTACTAATGCAATCTCGATTGTGATTGGCTAAAAACCTATAGATAATTCTCAATGTCTTGCCACCTACACGACATGGAAAATTATCTGTAGGTGACGCAATTTTTTACCGCTAGTTTGTTGTCAATAATGGCGCAGGCTTCCTCTCTAAAAAGGAAATACATAATAAAACAATTATTGATATTCGCATGATATCGAAAATTATCAAGCCTCAGTTTGGCTTGATAATTCTCGATAACACACTAAACCAGATCCAATAATTGTTAAATACAATCAATGAATATTTCGACCGTAGCGAAACATTATATTACAAGTGCACAAAGATTAGTTGATTAAACCTCGTAGTAAAAAACAAAAATAGCTACCGTAAAATGCAAAACCATTCAGTTGCTACAATACTCATCTATATTTTCGTTCTTTTTGCAGTGTCAGTGTCTCGTGTAAGCGATGTGGTGGGGGTTTTGGCGGGAAAGGGAGTCGTGCCGCAGCCAACTCAACAGCTTGTGCTCTGGCGGCTTACATCATGAACAAGTAATTCTGAGTACCCGCATTTAATTAAGATAGTTTTATTACACTAAATACTTACGTGTTTTAGGCCTGTGCGTTTAAGAATGAACTTGAAAACGAACATGGAAATGATCGGAAAGAGATATCCTTACTTGGCGAAGTACAAGGTATTTTCCGAAATCTTATCGATTTATGAGTGCCGAAATCTTATGTATCCGCGCATAAAAGTAAGCGATTTCAAATTTGAATAGGTGGCTAAATGTAATGCAACTTGAGCGTTTTTATCCGTGTATTGAATTCTGTTGCATTTGTTTTAAGTTACTTAATAGTTAAAGCTCTGCGTCTCTGTATTTTGTTACAGGTTACTTGATAGTTACTTTGCTTTATAGTTACTTATAGCCCGAGGTAAATAATGTAAAAGTTCCGCTGTTATATAAAGCTCTTTACTTTGGCAAATAACTTAGATTGGGGCTGCGAAAGAAGGATTATTGAAAGGCATTGATCTCACATGTTACGCAGCTTGTGGAATTGCAACAACTGAATGCTACATTCCCATGTTTCCTATTTTAATGGATAATGGTGAGTTAATAATATCATTACTATTTATAATTGATATTCTCATCTCTCAAGTTTCCTTTAAGGTCAATCTCTAAAGTGCCTATATCACTCGTGGAATCTTTATGCATTTGAAAAGAATGTTAAAAGTTAGTTAATGTATTAAAAAAGTTTTTTTATTTAATGCAATAATTTTGAAGATACTAGCCTTTAAACTACCTGCAGTTCCTGAGTCCTAGGCTCCCGTAAACAATGGGCAGTTTCAAATTGAATAGCCGTGTTTAAACCCAGGAGGTTCGGACTCAGGAACCGCAGGTAGTTTAGAGGCTTGTATCTGCGAAATTATTGCACTAAATCAAAAAACTTTTTTGATATATGAACTAACTTTTTACGTTCTTTTCAAACGCATAAAGATCGAAAAAGTTATATAGGCACTTTAAACAGCGAGGTACATTCATACATCAGTACATATTACGGGAAATGGAAAAAAAATTTCATTATAGTTTCCTCCTAAATTATTTGACCGAGAAGTATAAGGGCTTGAATAATTATTATAACGTAATTTCTGAGAGCAGTGCTCCTTTCTTTCATTATCGGAATCAGTGCTCCTGGAAAGGTTTTTCCACTACTTTTTTTTAACAACTTTAGCGTATTATTGTGAAAATTGGAAATTTCAAGGCGTTCCCTGCAAGACAAACACAGCAACCAGCAGCTATACGCGTGCACCAGGTATGTAAACGTGCATGGGATATTTTACACGTTGATGAATTAGGGAGGATACTTGGAACACCTGCAGATTTTAACACATTTCTTCACGGAAATGCATGCCTTTGATTTTTCAGGTCGATTACCAGCGACCTTTATTGCCGAAACAATGATGAATCACTTGGCCAAAACACTGAACATGAGCCAGGATGAGATACGAGAAATCAATTTTTACAAGAAAGGACGGGTATCGCTACTCTCACGAAGCCTTACTGCTTTTACAATAATTCAATCCAGAATTTCAACTGTATGTATGCAAAAGTTTCGTGGCCGGTATAAAATAGACCCTGAACAAATAGCTCCGTAGTTAGTGCATATATTTCGATTTTGATTCGTTTCTTTCATTCTTTCAGACAACATACTATCATCAACCTTTGCTATACTGCAACATGACTGAAATATGGCAAGGTGAGATTAAACACTGATAGCTAATACTATAAGCTTATTTTTAGGCTAGCCTACTATGCTGAATATTGCTAGAAATAATCTGAGACCGCGAAGTCGAGGTTTTTACTCAGTATAACACTCACAGAGGCAAATAATTGTTTAAGTATGTAATTAAAACAGCATTAAGACGTGATTGTTTAAAAACCCAGTCTGTTGTAGAGAATACAATTTTAAACTATTTAAGGCTGTTTGAATTCGCCTTTTCCGTTTCTTAGGTAGATAATTTTCTTCAAAATTATGATTTCTTAATTAACCACATAAACCACTCGTCATTTTGCAAAAAACAACCAAGGTGACATGACGGATTGCCAAGTAATAATCCGACGTCCCTCAACCAATCAGAGGCTAAAAATTTCAATAATCAAATTTGTAATTATAATGAGTTCATTAAATAGCTCAAAGCAACGGTCTTAACTGAAACGCCAGTAGATGTGCCAGGAAAGCCCGACTTAATTCATTTTGCTTCTATCTTCTATCTTATCGAATATTTTGCTTCTTAAGTTTCTTTGATTTTTTCTCCACACTTTTTGTTTTTTATTATTGAAATAAATAATAGTAATTGCCCTGAGTGGAGTGCAATTTGGTGTAAAATCAAACGTGTGATTATACGAAATTGTTATAACAAGTTTGATTTCACACCAAAATTGCACGACACAAAGTGCAATTTATTTGAACTTTATTATATTCATTTTGAAATCATACAAAAATGTAAACAAATTCAAAACGATTTATTGGCTGAAAGAACCGAAAACCGTATAAAATGTGAGGAATTTTCATCTATTTTTGTCAAGAAATTTTACGGGGCATTTAAAAATACAGAATATTCAAATTTTGTGCCATTTTCCCTTGTAATTAGATTGGATAGTTACACTGAAATACTAAATCTGATTGTTGTGGCGCAGAACTTCAATCTTATTTAAGAATTAAAAAACGAGTCGCGTGCCTTTATGGTGTAATAATGCACGATGGGGGAATGTTGGGAGAATACGAGAGAAGCTTGTAAAACACGAGGCGTAGCCGAGTATTAGTATTCTTCTCGAGTATTCTTCTATTTTTAACCAATCAGATTGCAAGAAATACCATTCATTTCAAAATGAATATAATAAAGCTAGAAATTGCAACGTGTAAATCGTTTTGTATTTAACAATTGCAAATTTCATTAAGAATTATGCTCCAATGTGATTATTAATTTGTAATTTTAGAATTGAAGAAATCAAGTGAAGTTGACAAACGTAGAACCGCTATTGAATCATTCAACAAGGTTTGGTTTATCAAATAAACCTGACGTAATTGCCACTAGCTCGAGGGAGTGAAATTGAAGCTAGCGACTTTTATTTAGCTTTACGAGTTTTGAGCAGTCCCGCGTTCACAAGGCTTGTAGACCTCTTGCAGTGTTTGCGCGTTATTGTGTTACTTTTTTACGGAAATTCTTGCCAATCTTTGTTTACTTTCTTTTTTGAAGGAAAATCGTTGGCGTAAGCGAGGAATAAGTTTAGTGCCAATGAGATGGGGCGTGGAATATAAACGAGGGTTTCGATACACCGCCTATGTCGCAATATTTCGTAAAGATGGAACAATGGCCATATCACATGGAGGAGTTGAAATAGGACAAGGGATAGACACAAAGGTATACTTCATAAATATATACCAAAATTGAGGGCGGGCATTTTGTTTGAGAGAAAATGTAGTAGACACTTTATGTTTATCAATAAAACAATGGAATCAGTGGAATGTAATTTTCCACACTGGGAATACAAATAACCTTGTAGCCTTAGAACGATTTATGGAAAAGTTAAATATTTTATAGAAAAAGTTAGATATATAATAGAAAAATTAAATATGAGGAAACTCCATGCAATTCGTTTTGTATATGAAAAAGTCAATTAACTTACCTGCAGAGATGTTCAAATTTTTCAGCATGCAGATAATACGAAAGACGATTTAAAACAACATTAATTTGTAGGCCCGCTTTCCCTGCATGATTCGAACATAAATAATAGCATCATGTTTTAAACTGTTTATTTATGTGATTCAAACCAACAAAAGCATGCTGTGTATTTCACTATTATAGTCGCGGTTTTTTCCAGTTTGTTATACAAGCAATATGATTGAGATATGTTGTATATGCACGGGCGTTGCACAACTAAACAATCAGACATTGTGGAACAATAAACAATGCTTAATTCACCATAACGAAAAAGATGGCGCCGCGCAAGGCATGCTGGTAAAATGTACATGTTGTCAAAAAGAAAACAAACATGGTTGGTCATTTGCTGGCAAGGTTAGACTACACAAATGCCCAATAAAAAATGCGTTGTCGCAAGATGTACTCATACAAGTTGGCGACATAAAACGCTGACTTTCTATTGCTTTCCGAAGGACGATAAACTACGGCGGAAATGGATTAAAGCTGTTTCTTTGAGGGCGTTAAACTACCGATGGAAGCCGAGTGACCGAATATGCAGCGCTCATTTTCCAAACGGACGCAAGCTTGGAAAGAACAACATCCCTTCCATCTTTCCCAGATGGGATTTCAAAAAGAAACAAGTTGTGTGGCCTGTTGATATCTCGAGTTGCTGAAGGAAAATTTGTATCCTTGATAATAATGACTGTTACTTCCAAATTCTGATATTGAAAACAAACCTATCATGGCGAAGATGAAGTTGACCGTCCTAAGATAAACGAAACAAATATTTCCATATCAGTACCGAAAACACAACGATTGTTGATGAGAGCGAAGATTTGAGGGATGAAGTCGAATGTAACAGCACAGGAAATAAAGAGAAAGCAAGTATAAATGATGGTGACTGTCCTAACGTGGCACGCTACGACAACGTGTGCAGGACTTAGAAAAGCAGCGAGATATTCAAAGGTTTGGAGTAAAAAGATTCATGCTCTCCGATAGTGACATGAGATTTTACACTGGTTTGCCAGATTATCGAACTTTCCTTGCATTGTATAATTTTTTGAAGCCACAACCAGGGTTTCAGTTGAACTACTATAATAACTATACAAATAAAACTGCTTCTGAACACCAAGTGGTAAGAGGAAGACCTAGAAGTCTGAACAGTATTGACGAATTATTTTTGACATTGATTAGACACGGCTAAACTTGTTTGAAAGGACCTTGGAGATAGGTTCAACATTTCCCAGTCTACTGTGTCTGAGATATTCTCAACCTGGATAGACCGCATGCATGATTGTCTTGGGCAGTTGAAGTTCACTGCAAATCCCAGTATGATGAAACAATACTTACCAGCATGTTTCAAGTCAGGGCATGAAGATGTTTCTCTAATTATTGATTGTACTGAGATATTCCTGGAAAGGCCTTCTCAGGTTATTCAACAATCAGCCACCTGGTCGGATTACAAAAGTCATAATACTGGAAAGGCCTTGTTAGCTCTATCTCCTGTTATGCTCCCAGTATTTACATCTGACATATTTCCTGGCAGTATATCAGATGAAGAAATGGTAATTGAGTGTGGTGTCCTACAGTATGCACAGAATGGTGATAGATGGTTGGCAGACAAAGGTTTTTTAATTCAGCATATTTTAGATAAGTATGGAGTAAGAGTTGACACACCAGAAAAATTAGAGGGAAAGGGCCAGTTTAACCATCAAGAAGATTGCAAGAACCGAAAGAATTCACAGGTGAGAGTTCATGTTGAAAGAGGTATTCGTCGAGTAAAATTGTTTAATATTTTAAAAGGGAATATGCCAATTCGATACCACCATCTTTTATCAAAGATTTGGAAAGTCTGTTGTTATCTAACTGCCTTTCTTCCACCACTAATCAAAGATAAAAGTGATATTAATATCCAGGACAATGAAGAGTAACACCATTTTACAAATTAATTAAGTAACAAATGTTGTGATTTCTTGTTTGACAAAATGCAATGGTTTCTTACAGTATTGTGTGTTAAACTATTTCTAAGCTGTTTTAATGTAAGAGTGTAAATATACAGCAGAATGCAATGAATAATCTAATGTGAAGAAATTATTTAATATATATTGTAATAAATATGTACAAAGCAATTTAATATTAAAATGAATGGAATGTTTACATTGTTTTATTTAAATACGATGCATGCTGACTTGGGACTCAATTTTTGCCACAAAGTCTCTAATCAAAAGTGATTCTTCTATTGTAACAAGGTTTCACAAGGTAAATTTCGGCCATTAGAAAACATACTGTACAATTACTTAAGAAAAAGCTATTTCTGTACAAGATTTAGAAAGTTGATTTGCTTCTTGTCTTAATGGTAGCATACTTTCAAATTCAGGAACATTTCCAGCCAAAGTATCACAAAGTTTCTGGGATATTTTGCATTCTGCTTGAGGAATAGTGCCAATTTTTTCATTGTTGAGGACTGCATTACAGACATGCATGAACAAGGCAATAAAGTATTTATTTCTAGTTATTAAAAAATACTTGGAAACTTTATTTTCTGGAACAAAAGACTGTAGTATACCAAAAGAAGCATCTGCACATTCCAGTTGTAACTGAATTTGTGTGTAATGTGCTCCTGTTACTGATAACAGTGGCTCCATATAACCCTCAGCTCTAGTTTTAGTTTCCAGAACACAACGACCAGATAGAATATGTGTGTTGTTTGTTTGAACTTCAGTGGCTGTTTTGCAGGATTCGCCTTGAAATATTCTATCTGGTGAAGCTCCATAATTTGGGTCAGAATCCAGACAGAAAAATCCACATTCTTCAACATCTGCTCCACTTTCCCTTGAAAAACAGACTGCTGCTTCATCTTCAAATTTTATACCTCTTTCAAAGTTTCTTAAGAACTTTTTGGGTTCTTGTTTTTTTTCTTTTACACAATGCCATGTAACATCATATTCCTTTCTTCCCATCAAGCCAATTAATGCTGGGGCTTTAGACCCAGTAATTTTACCAATTCGTTCAGTAAACCATTGCACACTCCTTTGGGCAGGTCTTGTTTGGGTTTCAGCTTCAGGTATGTTTGCACTTGCTTTAGTATGGCATGCATCTCCACTGGTGTACAGTATGTTTTCTGTGCTGATGGCTGTTTTTGCAGTACTGGGCTCAGAACTGTCTGTAAAGTTCAATCTTAATATGTCAATGACACTCTGGGAGCATTTTGAGCCTGACAAATCCTTGCACAACTCGTGAACACGTTTTTGATCCACATTTGGTTCACCACATGGTCTGGAAGTGTAAGTGGAACTTACTTCAACTGGAAGTTTTCTCTTACGACCCCCTGCTTCATCTCTATGTGCTAAGTGTTTTTCAAATGTTAGTTGCTGAAAAGGCTTGCGTTTCATAAGCTCCTTCTCAGGATCTTGTTTCGATTTGAGAGAGGGCAAACCCCACATTTGTCTAACCTCGGTGCAGCTAACAGGCTTTGGAAGTTCTTGTTCTGCAGACATTGTTGCCTCGGCCAGTTTATACGATAGGGCAGCAACATGTTTATAAAAACCCCGCCTTCCAGCTGCACAAGAGAAGTCTCTAGCTCCAAGTATTTCCCCAGTTTTCTTGTCAAAAAGTACACATATTTTATACGTTTCATCTTGTTTAGTTTGTTTCATTGCTGCCCGTGTATATCCACGAAGCAAGAACATGTTGTGCTCCTGCAAGACATTGATTTCAATCCTTTTCCCTGAAGTTTCAAATTTCTTGGTTTTTGAAAATGCATAACCTTCTAGTAAGTGCCTCTTCCCTTCTGCTTTTGCAAAATAGTTTTCCACAATTGAATGGGTTATTACTGGTATGCCATGAAGTGAAATAGTCCAGTTTTCTTTGTTGATAACGTCTTCCGTTTCGAGGATTTTTTCGATTAAATTTTGTTCCTCGCTGAGGCTCCCTTTCCTCTTCTTCTCGTACGTATCGCCACTTGGATCTTTTAAAAATTTTTTGTCCCATCCCATTGAAATGTAAACCTTTATTCTGGCAAGAAACATTAACAGAAAACATTTCAATTAGATATATTCTATATAAAACAACGTAAAGACATTTCGTATAGGCTTTCAGCAAGTGTCACCAACTTACTTCTCTATCAACTCTCCGCGTCTAAGTCCACTTAAATTTCGACAGCCTCTGCATTTCAACCATAAAACAGCTTCTGCCTTTGTTATTTCATCGACCTTTTTACAAAGTTTTGCACCTGGAATATCATTTTCATTCAACAAAATGTTCGAACTGTTTTCTCCCGCCATATTGTTTTCTTTTTGACAACATGTACATTTTACCAGCATGCCTTGCGCGGCGCCATCTTTTTCGTTATGGTGAATTGTTAGACACTTGACACTCGGAAGCGATGAATAGTTATTAGTCATTAGTTGCAGTTAGTGTGAGAGGCAATAGCACGAGCCGGGAGGGTTGTCCAATACTGTCAAATAGACACGACCCGTACGACCCGTAAAATTGGTTGAGTTGAATGAATGTCTTATCGACCCGTGCAAGTGGAGAAATGCATCATGTAACTCTATTCGTCGACCCGTACAAGTGGAGAAATGCATCATGATGTGTTTAGAGATAGCTACAGAGGGGCTAACTCTATTCGACGACCCGTACAAGTGGAGAAATGCATCATGATGTGTTTAGAGATAGCTACAGAGGGGCTAACTCTATTCGACGACCCGTACAAGTGGAGAAATGCATCATGATGTGTTTAGAGATAGCTACAGAGGGGCTAACTCTATTCGTCGACCCGTACAAGTGGAGAAATGCATCATGATGTGTTTAGAGATAGCTACAGAGGGGCTAACTCTATTCGACGACCCGTACGATTTGACAAATCGTACGAGTCGTTTCGACCCGTACAAGTGGAGAAATGCACCTTGATGTGTCTAGAGATAGAGGGACTAACTCTATTCGTCGACCCGTACGATAAAAAATCCGTAGGGATTTTTTGAGATCGACCATCAGTAATAACACTAATTTCCTATAATACATGAAAGTTGGGAGCTCTGACATAAATAGAATGTCACTTCGCGCGAAAAATATCGCTAGTGGCCTGTAGTGGCTTTACAACTAACTGTGTATTTATATTTGCCGATGTGGTTTTAAAAGAACGAGGCAATTCAATATGTATTTATATTTGTTGAGTTGTGCATTGCTAACTGAAAGACAATATTTCCTATGTTGAATAATATGTGGTTTTTAAAGAACGATCGAGGCAATTCAATATGTATTTATATTCGCTGAGTTGTGCGTTGGTAATTGAAATATTTCGCTTGTGGAATTCTGCATGTGTCTTTGTGGTTTTTAAAGAACGAGGCAATTGAATATGTATTTATATTTGTTGAGTTGTGCGTCCAGCCCAGCACGATTCATTTATCCACTTATACGGATCGAATCGACTCACGATTAATTTCTCCACTTGTACGGGTCGAAACGACTCGTCCAATTTGACAAATCGTACGGGTCGACGAATAGAGTTAGACTCCTCTATCGGGCAACACAGCATGACGCATTTCCCCACTACAATAGTACCTACGGACCAACCGAATTTGGTGGGATCAATGATGCATTTCTCTACTTGTATGGGTCGTAACGACTCGTACGATTTGACAAATCGTACGCCGGTACGGGTCGAAAAGACATTCATTCAATTCGTCCAATTTTACGAGTCGTACGGGTCGTGTCTATTTGACAGTATTGGACATGTGTGCGAGCCGGAGGCACAGCTTTTAATACATTTCTATAAAACGAAGAAGTTATTGTTGTGGTTCTAATCCAGTATATGTTACTGGGCTATTCCCCCTACGGCCCCGACGATTCCGCTGAAAGATACAGAGAGTAGGGGTCGTGTAACAAGTTGTTAATGTTCAGAGGGCTTTGTTAATATTTTACTAATTCACCCACAAGTTTAATCAAACGTGTATGTCGTCATCCAAATGTTTTTATCTATATACACTGAATGCAAAGCCGCGAGGAATACTCTCTTTTTAAGGTGGCTCCCTACAATTTTTTAAAATATTGAAAACTTGTGATTTTGATTTAAAATTTTAGCACGAGATTTCTTGCTAAGGAGAAGAAATTTCCCAGATGTATTAACCAACATTCTAACAGTCAGAAATTGCCCATAAGCATGACGTCATTACCGTTGTTATGGTAATAATAGCAAGGTTCAGATTTGACTTCCACTACTACTACCCAGACCTTAAATGGGAAATAAACCAATCAGTTGCGACCGGTCTACCTGATTAACCAATCACATGCCGAATAGGTCAGCAAAAGGTTTTACTCGAAAACAAGCTCGGTTACCCCAATTTTTTATTCTATAAAAAGTTTTCTTAAAAAAAATGGAAAATTTGAACCAGTTAAGAAAAGTTCTATAGAGCCAAAATTAAAAAATTAAAAAACGTGATTTTTCGCTATAGAAATTTTTGGCTATATAGAATTTTTTAAAAAATTTCCTATTTTTTTGTAAGAAAACTTTTTATAAAATAAAAAATTGGGGTAACCGAACTTGTTTTCGAGTAAAATGCGGGAATAGGTAAAATGACGGCCATATTGAATCGCCATTGTTACCATAACAACGGTAATGACGTGATACTCAAAGACAAGTTTCGACTGTTAGACTGTTAGTTAATATATCTGGAAAATTTAATTTCGTTTAGCAAGAAATATCCTGCCAAAAATTTCAATCTAAATCATTAGTTTTCAATATTCTTAAAACAGTAGGGAGCTACCTTAAATCTTATTTTTGCCCGTAGAATTTTCTTTTTGGACCTTTGAAAATATCTTTAATTTTATCTAACTGCAGGTTTGCCAAGTCGCTGCTTACACACTCGGTTTTGGTCTGACTGTTGATAAGATCTCAATTAAACCAGCAACAAGTTTTCTTAATCCAAATGGTATGTCAATTTGTTTCGCGTTTTGTGAATGTTTTCACGTTGAATGAGATGTGCCAAATGTGTTGTCCTACTCTAAAACGCTTTTCCGTTTACAGGTTCAACAACTGCGGCAAGTATAACAAGTGAATTATGTTGTGAGGTGTGAAAATTTCCTACTTGCCTCATTAGTGTAACCAATGCAATGCTTTGAATCCCTTGTAATTAACCAATGCTTTGATAGTCTTTGTTTCAAAAGACTGTGAACAACATTTCTAACAAATCTGATGATGAGGTTAAGCGGAAAAATAAAGTATATCATTTTAGACAATTATTACAACGTTATTATCTACCTAAGCCAGTGGAAGCAGTTCCTTTTGGAAGGGGTGGGACAAGGTAGCAAATTTGCTCTGGACTGCATGATCTTACACAAGGGTGATTGATACACGTTGAAGTGGTAGAAAAATAGAAATTATGAAAGAAAGCCATGCGCAAGTAGAAATTACCGCTAATTACCCCCTTTCTTTTACACAAAGCCAACCCTACTCCCCGCAGACGGGTCCACAAAAAGACGAAACGCCGCATACGAGATACTGATTCGCACCCTTGACTTTTTTCTTCTTCATGTTATCCTATTTTACCTACCTCTTTGCATACCCATGAAATTTAACATCACCAACAATAATACACAGCCTTTTATTACACACATAACTACACAGTTCCTTGAAGATTTTGAATCACGCACAAACAAAACCCCTTTTGATTTCCTTTTATTTTATACGCAACGCATGATTGGCGATTGTCCAACAATTTCCAAACAAACCCTTTTCTATGGTATATACCTACAATTGTCATACGTCCCTTAATTTACAAAGAAACTGTGTTCTTAAATGCGACTTTATAGTTGTAAACGAAGGGAAGGAACGTTTTGGAGGCTTGAGAATCAGCCATAACATCAAAGAATTAAAAATTTCAATACGACCTACAATAATGACAGTAACATCAGTTATATAATAGACAGTTTACCTTATGTAAATAAATATTCAAAAACTGTATCTTGTGTCTGTGCAGGCGATCATACAATGCTGCAATATGCTCAAGGAAAGAATATCACCTGTAGCAAAAGATATGCCACAAGCCACGTGGGCTGAGATCATTCACAAGTGTTATGAAAAGGGTGTTGATTTGTCTGCAAAATACATGTATGTACCAGAGAGGCTGGCTCGATACAGTTTTCGAAATAACACATGGACATGTTCAAACTATGCATTTTTTTTCAAACGCATAGTTTGGGGATATTAGCGATTAATTAGCCCGCAAACTGTGGGAGGTTTAGTAAACCACCCGTGGCTAAGAAGTATTTAATAAGATGTTATTCGACAGATTTTGTTTTTTAGTTTTTTGAGTACCCTACTTTCAAATCATATTAGGTTTAGTAATAGATCTACCATTACTATGCCTGTGGCGTTTTACGTATACGAATTTTACCCAAGAATCGCCTATCGGTTGGAATAGATGGATAAGGAGTACGGTGACCCCCAAACTTAAATCAAAAGATATAGGTCTGTGTCTAATAGCAGGCATTCTTTGGCATTTATTTAGTAATTTGTTTATTTTTTCAATTAATGTAGGACTATTATGTAAAATTAAAAAAAAATATGGAATTCAAGTAATCAAACGTTTTACTCTAATATGTTTAATACATCATCTCATAATGACTTCAAAAGAGGGAATCCGGGTGTTACACGATTTATTTAGTAATTTGTTTATTTTTTCAATTAATGTAGGACTATTATGTAAAATTAAAAAAAAATATGGAATTCAAGTAATCAAACGTTTTACTCTAATATGTTTAATACATCATCTCATAATGACTTCAAAAGAGGGAATCCGGGTGTTACACGACGTTTGATTGGCCCGTTAGTCTTGCGGAAACAGTTCATGCAGTCAAATTAAATATATCCGCCGTCAATCTTGGCACTCCTAGTTTGTGGCTTTACTGGCTGCGCGATCCGTTTATTATTTGTTTAGATGCATGGTCTTTACTATAATGATATCTGTATTTGTTTTTTTTAGGATATTACCAAAGCCTCCTCAGCCAGCTTTTAATTATAACATTTTCGCTGCGACTTGTACAGAGGCGGAGATTGATGTGCTCACTGGTGAGACAGAAATACTCAGAACGGATATTTTGTTTGACTGTGGAAAAAGGTAGACAGTTATTCCATTAACTCCGTGCAATATTTCCTGTGCTTTTAGCGGTGACCAAACACTTTGCTGAAAGACATTTGGCCGAAAGACACTTTGCCGAACGGATATTTTGCCGATCGGAGATTTCACAGAAAAGCCAGATATTTTGCCGAACAGACTATTTTGCCGAAAATAGCGATACTTTGAGCATTTTTATATTCCTTGTGTTTGTCTGCACATACTAAAAAATGCCATATTCTAATAATGCCATTTGTAAACGTAAAGATGTTGGTGTGTGGAGCAAGTGTTCTGTTTTGCAGCATGAATCCTGAAATTGACATTGGACAAGTGGAAGGAGCATTCATCATGGGTCTTGGTTATTGGTTGACTGAGAAAGCAATATATGATCCTCTGTCCGGTCAGAAACTTACCAATGGAACATGGGTAAGAAACTTTCTATCGTTGGTTAGGGGCGGGTAAAGTGGTAGGAAAGCTACGAAATTTGAAACTTTTTTATTTGTTATTAGGATTACCACCCCCCGTCTTCGAAAGACATTCCAATAGATTTCCGGGTGAATCTTCTTAAAGATGCTCCAAACCCGCTTGGAGTTCTTGGCTCAAAAGGTAATTTTATGTCAATATAATGACAATTGCCCTGTATTGTAGTATGTAGCGATGTTTTAGCCGCCTCTTTCAACGAATTTCGAGTTGGACGGGGGAGGGCATTACAAAAAATGGACCCCCTGGCACAACAAAGTATAAATGTTGATCGTGGCCGAAGCGGGAAATTTTTTGAAATCAGTTGCCTCATGTTAAAAAAATGTGCAAAATAAGATGCTTCGCGCTCGACAGATGATATCAGTGAGGCTGAGTTATATTCAGCAAAGATTGGCCGCCAGCAGGATACAGAAAGGCTCAGTACACATAGTTGTGAACGAAAGCAATCTTTATTTTTATCAATGTTTTTTTAAACATGGGGTTTTTACTTGGGAATTTTTACTGATTTTTACCGCGAATTAAAGTTGACTTTTCAGGCCCACACAAACAGGACGCGATTTGGCAACGCGGCGTGAGTTTTTATTTCCCAAAAGCAAATAAATTTTAACTTATAATAATATTCTTGTGGATTACATAACGTGATGACTAGCTAATGACTATCATACATTTTGATTGCTTAGGCGTCAAAAGGTTCCAAATATTGCTTCCAGAATTTAATTTGTATGCTTTTGAAAACTGAAAATTCGTGTCGCGTTGCCGCATCAGGTCTGGGTCGGCCTTAACTTCGATTATTTTGACCGCCAGCCTCGCCAAATAATGGCGGTCAACGCAAGAAACTTTTAAAACTAAGTCAGTAACATACATGCGATGGAAATAAGTTTCTAAACATACAGCTCTAGCACTTTTTCGTCATTTAACAAAATTTTAAAGTTTCACTGATTCATTTTGAGTCTTATTTGTCTCATACGCGTTCATTGCTATATGAAAATTATTATGATTAGCTTTTAAATTCTACGATTTAACTATGCTCTTCGCTTTATTTGTGGTTTAAAGCTGCTGGTGAACCACCTCTGTCTATGTCATCTTCGTGTTTGTTCGCTGTGCAAGATGCGATATATCACGCTCGTGAAGAGACTGGGCAAGACAAAGATTACTTTCCGCTTGACGGCCCAGCTACAGTTGAGGTCACTCAGTTGAAGTGTTTAGTCCATCCTTCACAATTTATTATGTAACAAAGAAACATAACTTTGCTCATTATTCGACTAGGCTCATCTGTGAAAATGAATCCAATTTTCATCGTTTAAAGTATGGTTTTTATAAGGTGTAAAACAAACTGACACAATTAGTATAAAAAATTAGACCGTAAGTGCAAGATAAGTCGGTTTTACCAGTAAATATTGTATATATTCGAACAGCTTTATTATTCTGTGAAAACGAATTGGAATTATCACCCATTTTCTGGCCATTTCCCAATCCAGCAGGGTACTGGGTCCATGCAGTCGCGAATAAATTAGTATTTCAGACCTATATCTCTCCTGTCCCTCCAAACAGTCCATGATGCTTTGCGGTTCGCGACTAGCAAAGTATTTTTCGGTAATTTATCCTAATTAACATGGACTATATTTACCTGATAAAGGATTCTGAAATTTAGTTTTCGACCCCACATACTTTTTTCAATACTTTGCGCTATGATTTGCGTGAATTGCATTGCTCATTACTGGAAACAATGTGCACTTTTTTGATTGGTAAAGAAAAATTCACTCTGAAATGTGTAAGAGTTTACAAAAGACTACATTTGAAAACAGTTTATTTTTTCACGTAGTTAATGCAGGGCTTTTTGGAAATTGTGCCTAAGCTTGGGCTTAAGCCTTTCCATTAGATGTTAGTGAATGCTATTGAAAAATTAGCCTATGAACTAGTCATGTTTATTGTCGCAGAATTAAAAGAAGCGCAGATGCAATTATATAACAAAACGCATCGTCGTGGTAGTTTATCCTAATGAACACAGATTATTTTTACCTGACAGGGATATTCTAGAATTTTGTCTTCGTCCGCAAATACCTTTTTGCATATTTGCGCTATGATTTGCGCTAATTTTTCCATCAACTGTTCCTTGAATTTGAAGTGTGTATAATTCCACTCGAAATTAAGACCTGTAAACCTCTAGAATTTACCTGCATCGAGTAAAGTGCCAAAAATCATGCATAATTGATCGCGTCGCGTAGCGACAGCGATCTATAGTTTCGGCTTGGTTTTTTTTTTTTTTTTTTTTTTTCCTCTCGGGTCGACCCCCAGCGTCGCTAGCTGCGGGCCATATCGCCCTAATCGGGAACCTGCGCACAGGTAAGTTGCTAGTTATATCACGTGTTGTATTCACTTTGGGCATATTTCGTTTCACCTTCGAACTTCGAAGCAGTAAAGTAGAATCAATAAAGTGATCAAAATGATAGTAAGTGCTATCTTATCTTTACACTCATTACACATACAACTAACTACACACGCCGAGCAGAGTAAGCCTGCACTAAAGGATTTCAAGCAGTTTCGAAATGGGCTGTTGTGTGTTTCTCCTGCTTTCAACATGCGACTATAGTTCGGTATACTGTTCATTTTTATTATTAAGAACATTTACGACACAAAATTTGCATAGCTGGGCTGGCTACGCCGCTGTGAACGACGCGATCATATAACGCCTAGTAGGCGTCTTGTTGAATATAATAAATTTATGTAATATAATCCGGGGACATACCATCGCTCGTTATCAAACTTGTGTGCATGTTGATAGAGATTAGTATTTCGCCATCGGCCGCTCTATATTGTCTCGCTTTTTTTATACATCGAAAGGTTCACACCAGCCGACAATCGCTTGAAGCCTTCAACGTGTTGAGCAGCGAGTTTTAGTGAAGCCAAGTTGCCCAGGGAGGACGAACAACAATTAAAAGAGGTTTGATTTTACTTATACTTCAGCCTCGTCGATGGTATTATAGTAGTGTAGCCGGTAGCAAGAAATTCATTGCTTTCACGTGAAGTCATGCAATGGACAAGATAAGCATAGCGGCACTAAATTAATCGTAAGCCGGCTGGCTATGTTACGACTTGTCGCGTGAACTGCCTTTTTTCTCATTGGTATGACTATGGTATATGAGTCTACCGTCTACGGCTGATGACCCCGAATGTTAAATGTAGTCTGAATAAAATCGGTTCATGCACACCCGCAGAGAATTAAAATAGTTGACGGCCGAAGGAGTGTTTATGGACAACATGTCTAAATTTTCATTGTTTCCGCACAGTATCGTTATTGTGAACGCTCGTGATTCTACATGGAAATGTCAGGGAAAGCAATAGTAACAGTGCGCGTTGAAGTTAATGGAGTGAAGTATCTTATTTCTAACACAAGTTCAACGACATCGTTAAATGAATGGCTGAGATCACAACCTGGACTCAAAGGTATGGAACATTTTCAAAAGCAGTTATGTTGCTCAGGATCCATGACTTAATTTTAAATGAATGAAATCTCCAGTCGAATTGCAATAGACTTCCCTCCTATGACCTTATGGGCAGAATGCGTGACGATGGTTGCAATTAAAAAGTCATTAATCCATTATCGTGATTTTGGTAAAATTTCAGTTGTCGATATTTTTTGCTTCTTTGCTGAACTTAATGGATGACTTGCGCTGTAAACTAATTTCTTACCTCGGCGATAACATTTTCTGAAAGAGCTTATTAAACTTAGTAAAACTGCCAAGTTTGGCTACGAATTGTTGAAAATATCGGAAAATATAGCCGTGCGAAGCTGACGAATTTTGTATACTTTTGTATTGCGGCCGGAAGTATGTAACTAATTTAGTTACGCATTTCCACACGTATACAAAAGTATATAAAATAAACTCTGCATTTGCTCTAATTTTAGTAAGATCTTTCTGACTGTGATGATTTATTTTCTTCTAGTTACTACAAATTAGTCCTAAATCTCAAGTCATCAATTACTCTTGAACATAGCGTAATCAAAAGTAACTTTGGTAATCAACTACTATACCTTCACATCATGATCACAGCGACTTTATGTGTGTTTAATGTTATTTTCTAGGAACGAAGGTGACATGCCAAGAAGGTGGATGTGGCGCGTGTGTCGTGGTGTTGACTAAACAAGATCCAGCCACAAAGAAAGACAAAGTGATGGCTGTCAATAGCGTAAGATTGACTGCAAAACTGAATTTACCTTTTGCTGGTTCCAAATGTTTACATGCGTGCCTTTTGAAGATACTGAACTTTCTGAGAATGTTTTTTTACATAATGAAAGAGCTGCTGACCAGGTCTATTGCGTGCGCAGAGTTTGACCTGCTCAGGCATAGACGGAAAACGTTTATGTCTGAGCATGTTAAACGCAACATTTAAACGTCAAGGTGTACTGTCTGATGTGAAAAATGCGAAAATAAACCCTTGACCTTTGCCGACCGATTTTAAATCTTTCCGTCATGACGTATGTTTCCTTAATTCCCAGTGTCTTCTTCCTCTCTTTGCTACGGATGGATGTAAGATTACAACGACTGAAGGTTTGGGGAGGTAAATTTTCACTTTCCACAGTTTTAACATATTTTATGTTGGCATAGCTAGAATTGTTACCCTTATCTAACTGGTACCTATTATTCAATACAAAGGCCCAGCACTGATGGAATTGGTATTCGGTACCCATTTTAGCCGCACCAATAAATTGCACGAGTGTAGTGTAAACGGGTGAAATTACTACGTTACTACAGGCTAGTTGCCAGGCTTCATAAGGCCTATAAATAGATCGCCCTTGATTGAGCATATTCCCATACATCTCTTGTGTAAATCAAATGTCTGAAGAGTAGGCAAATCGATCTCAGATCCATACTTGGCATGAATAAAACAAAAATTTCAAAACTGTGAAGTGTAAAAAAACAGAAATATTTCTGAATCTTTTTATTCTTCAACAGCAGCCGGTCTGGTTATCATCCTATCCAAGAACGTATTGCGCAATATAATGGCAGTCAGTGTGGTTTTTGCACTCCGGGAATGGTAATGAATATGTACGGGTAAGATGTCTGTGCGCATTTTTGGCGTACAACTAGGTAGATCGTATATGATATTAATCATTGCCGGATCTAGGATTAAGCAAAACAAATTAAAAGGAATTAATTTTATTTTTAAAATACCTTAATAACAACGCTAGCTATTGGTTATGGATTTCTAAAGAACATTTTTAAGTAGAAATCTACCAATGCGATTGGGTCCTGAGGATGTGGTAATGTATTCTGCCTTGAGGCGGATTTTCCATTCAGTTTGGACGTCGCGCGATCGACTTTTGGCGATTACTTTCTTTTGAAATACAAACAGTCAAGTGGATCATCTGCGACTAGATGAACTTGATTGAACACGTTTGAAAAGAATCCGATCTGATAAGCGATCGCATGATATTTTGCACTGAATGGAAATTCTCCATTATCCTGGATCCGCCACTGATATCAAAATCCTAATATATCTTCCTCTAAGCAAGTATTTCTGGCTAAAAAACAAGTTACATGAAAGCAAAACCAATAGCTAGCTACTCACCTACCTACCTTATTACCGCTAATGCCCCTACCTGCCATCTGCGCATGCCATCTGTCTGCGTCTACCTACTCGTTTACCTGTTTGCCTGGTCCAGATTGATGCGACTCATGCGATTGAATTTGTCAAAATTTCACAAACACAAAAATTAAATACAAAATTGGCGTAAATTAAGACTAGTCTAAATTTAAACACGATAAGAAATAGTGATGGTCATATATAGCTGAATTTGGTACATTCATCCTCGGCATGGTCGAATATACCGGAACTTGACCTTGGTATGACACATACCATAATCTGGAATATTCGACCATGGTCGAGTATACCTTGTATTTACGTCTTGTATTTCCTGATGAGTCCACCGTAGATAAATAAAGTTACCTTACCTTGCAATATTCCGCTATATTCGATCATGTTTCAGTATACCATATTCTGCTATATTCCGAATTTTTGAAGCTCGAATGTACACATGGTATATTCGAATATGGGATATTCAACTTTGATATGATCGAATATATCGGAATATGGTATATTGGACCTTGGCATGGTACAATACATCGGGAGATTGTATATTCGACCACGATAAGGTCCAATATACCGGAATATGGTATATTCGAATTTGCATGGTCGAATATATAGAAATATAGACCGCATAGTGGTGTGAAAGCTTGGTTCAAAACGTTGCATCAGTCAGCCAAAATGGTTCCGCCCCTGTCTGCCTATATATTCATTTACTTGATTGCCTGTTTTCATGCCTGCAGCCTGATTATACGTAACTATTTATCTGTTTAACCGCTTACATGCAACCATTCATGCAGTAGGAACAATCGCTTTTAATATAAAAGAATTGGGTAATATTTCTCTTCTTCACTAGTTTCTCGTTGGTACCAAACTTTTTGCACCCCAGTACAACTGATCATGCAGCACGACTTTATTCTCCTTTCTTTTTCTTAAAGCTTACTCTCGAAAAATGCTCAACCGACCAAGCAAGATATTGAGGATGGTTTTGATGGCAACTTATGTCGTTGTACAGGTAAAAAATATTTTTGAAAACCGCTTTCCTCCAGAATAGCAGTATAGCCGCGGCAACTTGGGCAAAAAGAATAACGAGTTTACTTGCATCGAGCTGTGAGATAGTGCTGTTTGCATTTTTATATACACTTTCTCTGCTTTAATGGCCGTCAATAATTCTGGGAGACTGGTTATGGATTTGTTGCAATCCAATGAACCACAGTATCGTTAATACTCATAGGCGTACGGCCGTGACTTCGTTTGAGGGGGGAGGGTGATCGCACGAATTTTTAAATTGTTATACAATTTTAACTTTTTACTGATTTCTAACAATAAACTTCATTTTATTTGGTTAAGGTAGCTGCCCGCCCTGTCCTCCTGGCCCTCTGTTCCCCTATGTTAATACTAATTGCGAATTTTACTTAACGTTTAGGTTTTCCGTCCCATACTTGATGCGATGAAATCGTTTGCAAAAGATGAAAATCCCATTGACATTGAGGTAAATAATATCTTATTCAACCAGCTATAATATTCCATATGGTGTAACTATCAGCTTTTGACGTGAGCCACTTGTTTTACTCTCAGTCAACTTGCACACACGAAGATACACCCATCATGTGTGTTTCAAGCCTAGGTTACACTCCCAAAAATCTTCGCTTGCCCATAAAGCAGAGTTATTAATGTTGCAAAGAGCAATTTCCAAGCAAAATGTAGACCTTATAATCACCATACTTTTACTCGTACTTTTACTTATCTGATCTTATGTATCGCAATGAAAATTATTTTCTCAGGGGTGGGGTGCTTTATATCATTCGTCTTTGTTAAGAAGTTATCTCCGAGTGGTACCTGCAAATCCTTTGCAAATCTATCCATGAGGATGAAAAATTCAGATGTAATATGTTATCAAACTATTTCCAGGACCTTCACAGATGTCAAAGAAAATGCTGTGATGAGATTAAAACATGTCACGGTTGTTGCTTCAGTGAGGGAGAAATGTCTGCACGCCCGTTATGGTTTAAACCTATATCTGTGAAGGATCTCTATACGATTCTGGATTCATATGACTCTGAAGCCATCAGATTGGTCGTTGGTAACACTAGAAAAGGTACTTCAGAAAATTGTACTCGTTGTAAATAATGCAATCGAAAGCTTTGAGAACTTATTGATACCTGGCGTCATAAAAAATATTATTGTACTTTATTATAAAATTGATTAATTACCAGAAACTTGCGACATACTTGCCATGTATTTCAGGTGTTTACAAAAATGATGGTAATTATGATGTTTTCATTAATATTGCTGATATGCCCGAATTGAATGCCGTACAGGTAATTTAGTTTACGTAGTTTGTGACATAAATTTTTAGGTCGCAACTCAAAACTTTCAAGAACAAGATATTCTAATTTCAACACACATGCTGACTGCATCCCATCCATCTCGGCATTATTCTAAACCAGCTTTTCGTACTTTTACAAACTGAACCCTGTAATTGCAGTAATCGAATCCCTAAAACCTAAACTCCATAATCCCTGTGATTAATTTCCTTAAACTCAAACTACAGTAATATCATATATCTTTACTCTGACATGCACATCATAATCCCATTCTTTCAAATCCATTATTCTTCGTAATAATTCAATCCCTGAGGACCTAAATTTCCCAATCCCAGCACTTCAATATCTAAAACTCCGTTAAGCTCAGTAATCCTAACTTTACAAAGTCAAATTGCATAAAATTTAATTCCTGAAAACTCACACGTCATCAAGGTCTTTCCACCCTCAGACTTGGAATAGGCTTGCATTGCCAGGACCTTTTTTAGATATTGTTGTAGCAACAGATTTGGCCTTATAGCGTTTCAACGTAGAGTTGGCTAGGATTTCTTTAAAAAAACCTAAATATCTAACTTGGTTTTGGAAACCTCAATAAGGCCGTCAAAGTACTTTCTCTATTTTCTAAAATACATAGTTATATGACCCCTCACGTACGCATTTTTTTATAAAATCTCATGCACTACAGCTCACACACAAACTCATTGAGTGATATTACCAGTAGAATAGAGGTTGATTTTCAGTTTAAACTTTTGCTATTCAGGTAACTGAGACATCTTTGCAGCTTGGCGCTGCGCTCTCTCTAAACAAGATGATCGCAGAGCTGAGGAATAACTCTTCCAAATCCAACTCATTTGAAATTCTTGCCACTCATATCAAGAAGGTGAAGCGAAATATATATATTTCCTTTCATGAAATTATGAACGATAAAACAGTTTTTTGTTTAACAAAGAGCACAATTTTTATCTAAAGCACGCCCCCGTTGTTATTACGGTAGCTGTACGGCCATGCGCATGCGTCGGAGGTGGAATTAATAATTTTATTCGACCTTTAAGGCTATAACTACCTCCCAGGCAACTGGGACCACGATGCATTTAGGCAGTTGATACTTGATAATAAACGTGTGAGACCTAAATGGATTCCTCTCTTAATTTTCCTAGATTGCCAACGTTCCAGTTAGAAATGTGAGTATATAGAAGAGTTGGAAGAAATATCACGCGTAAGTAGAGTAATCGAAATTTCGGAACTATGAATAATTCCAATTTTTCCTTCTTTCATAAATAGGCTGGGTGCTGGGCTGGAAATCTAATGATGATTCACAAGCATCGTGATTTTCCGTCAGATATGTTCATAATAATGTGCGCTGTTGGAGCCACTGTTGTTATTGGTAAAGACTAAAGAATGATTTCCTGTCCACAACTCATGTAGTTTTTTTTCAAAAATGTTTCGTTTCAGGTAAAGTTGGTGGATCAACCCAGTCCTATGGTTTGGAAGACTTTCTAAACGTTGACATGGCTAGCAAGGTGAGCGTTAGTTCGTCCAACCATAATAAAATCAGTCTCTGGTCTATTTCAATAAGTCCTTGTTACATCGTAACTCCGGCAAATTGCAAATTTACTCAATGCTATCATCAAAATAATAACACAGAAGGTGCATCAGTATTAAAAAAGTAAACGAGTACTGCAAACTAATTTATCCTGTAGTAAATGACACAGCTAGGATTACGTTTTAGCTTTAAGTTGTAAAAAGCATGAGGAGGTCAGCTTGTGAAAAGAAAATTTCCTTTAATGTACAGTTGCTTTATAGTTTTGAATATCAGAGATGGTCAGATAGACCAGTGAGATGGACATGCAAATCGCAAGGAAGGGAAATGGTTAACTTCTATAAACACCATGACTGACCACATTTAACGCTAAAACGATGGGGTTGCTTTTATTTTACTTTAAATATTTTTATTTCATGCAGGTGATCCTTAGAATCGATATCCCATTCAGTGCCAGTGATGAATTTGTAAGAACCTTCAAAATCATGCCGCGACACCAGGTATTTAGTTTCGTCTAAAATCATGTTCGTTGTGTACTTCTTTTGAGGTGATTACCTTTACGGTTAAATAGAGTAGTCTAAAATTTTTCATGATTCACACCGCACAGAGCTTCTATAAAGACACATGTAGTATTAACTGGGGGTAGTGCATCTTGCTATTTAGTATAAATTTCGAAGTGACTATTGATTTTCCTGCATCAGTCTGATTGGATTCTACTCCAATCGCAAGCTTACACTAAATTAATAGTGGGTCAGTTTTTTCAAATAAGAAATTGAAGTAATTGTAATTTTTTTGTGAAATTGTATTGATTGTTATTTGTAACTGTTTTATGGTTTGGAACAAATATAATATGCAGCTCCCTCTAAATTTTAAAAGAAAAATACTCCTTGGAATTTTCCCCAAAGGCCGACTTAAAGGCTCCTTTTCCACAAATCGCAAAATCATCTCGTGACCTCGCTGCGATTGTTTGCATCTAACTAAAATAGTAATTTTGAGATGAGTGAGCAGTGGCGTAGGAAGGGGGGCACTGGGGCCACGTGCCCCCCCCCAAGATTTTTCAAGGGACCAAAAGTGCCCTTTTTGTGAAAAAAATGCCTTTTTGAGAAGCGAAAAGAAACAAAAAAGTATCTACCATTTCTCAATAATCCTTAAATTGAGAGGGGTTTGTGGCCATTTCAGAGGCCTGTATCTCAAAGTTTTCTGGGGGGAGCATGCCCCCGGACCCCCCTAGCAGTACAAAGCCCAAGAAATACGAATCAAACCGTCCCTGTATATTTTTATTAACCATTTTAACCGCCATTTTTATTAACCAAAAGTGCCCCTAGAAGCTGGTGCCCCCCCAACCTCTTGATGCTTCCTACGCCCTTGTGAGTGAGTGAGAGCTCGACGGTCTTAACGACGGCTCTCAGGTAAAAACGTCGCGGTGATTCTTTGTCTATGTATTTTAGGCAGTTGTTAAATCGTATTTGATGCGAAGTTGTTAGAAGAAGCTGCCACGTTGCTCTGTTTAATATTGGAATTCTGAAATTTTATACCGTTTTATTCCTACATTAGAATGCGCATGCGTACGTCAATGCTGGATTCAAGGTCACGATGGACTCAACCTATATTATAAAGGGAATTCCAAGTTTAATGTTTGGTGGTGTGAAGCTTTCTCCGGTAGGTAATGAATTGTACAATAAATTGATAGTAGGTCAACAAGATAAAAAATTTAAGAGTAACGTAATACGATGAGCATAATACGATAATAGTACTAATAATACTATAAAGACGTAGTGAACCTTAATATGTTTGATATTCAGACAATAGAATACATTTTAAACGTAGCTACTTCCACTTTAATTTATGTTTAAAATTTTCTTTAGTTTCGGGCAAGTGGTACACAGCAATATTTTTCAGGAAAGAATATTCTTGACTCAGAAACATTAAAAGGTAAGACGTTAATAAACATACTGGATGAAGAAAAGATCTCAAAGTCTCCGCCGCTTTCACACGGTAAACAAGCAGGTTATCACTCAAGTTATCTCAATCTTTTTTATTTCTAATTACGTTGAAGCCTGAAAGGCACGGCAGCCGAGAGAAATTGTAAGGCCCGGGGCAAATTTTTTTTCAGGGGTCCTATGACGTCATGGTTTTAAATATCTGCCAGGCATAAAGTACTTTACAGCGTAGTGCAAAAGTTTTACAAAATAACTTTTTAACAAAAAATATCAATCAATCATCAATATTAAAATGGAGTCTACCCGAAAACGGCATATTCGACCATGGTCGAGTGTACCAAATTCGACCATGGTCGAGTGTACCGGAAAACGGCGTATTCGAGCATGGTCGAGTATACTAGAGTCTGGAAAACGGCGTATTCGCGAGCATGGTCGAGTCCGCCGGAAAACTGCATATTTGACCATGGTAGAGTGTACCGGAAAACGGCGTATTTGAGCATGGTCGAGTATACTAGAGTCTGGAAAACGGCGTATTCGACCATGGTCGAGTCCGCCGGAAAACGGCATATTCGACCATGGTCGAGTCCGCCGAAAAAAGGCGTATTCGAGCATGGTCGAGTCCGCCGAAAAATGGCGTATTCGACCATGGTCGAGTCCGCCGGAAAACGGCGTCATGGTTTTAAATATCTGCTAGGCATAAAGTACTTATAGCGTTGTGCAAAAGTTTACAAACAAACGTTTTCACTAACAATATCAACATAAGTTAGAAATTAAAATAACAACAACTGTCACTCGTACTTTGGACTAGTGTGCGTATAACACACCGATAATAGGTTCTTTCTTAAGTCGGGGGGGGCTTCAGGTTTTGGGCCCGGGGCAAGATGCCCCCCTTGCCCCCCCTCTCGGCGGCCCTGCTGAAAGGTACGACGTGAGAGTTATAAACCAAGCCATTGATAGCAATTTTGTATACACAACGCGGTATATACTAAACTAGGTTGTATGAATGCATTGGATGAAGAAATGATACCAGAATCAACACTACTCACTGCAAGTGCTGAATATCGCAAAAGTTTGGCCCTTTCTTTGTTCTATAAGGTAAGACGACTTATGCTATGCCGTATCATTTTGGGTTACCTGTAACTTACTTTTTCGAATAATTTTCAAAAAATTATAATAATGCTTTTCTCACTTATCCCCATTACTTTAATTCTAATGTTTTTCCCACAGGAACAAAACCATGTAACAGTTAATAGTGTGTTTTTTGTAGTGCTTTTCGATGAACTAAGAATTGATTTATTCTTTTCACTTCCTCTTCACGTTGGCAAACATGATTTTGCTCTACACTTACGACTAAACTAAACTGAATAACCTACACGCTCAAGAATCTAATTGATAAAACACTAGTTCTCGTTTATAATAATTCTGTTGTTTTTTTTGATTAGTTTTATCTCAGTCTTCTTGGTAATAAAGCAAGTTCCAGAGTGATTTCTGCTGCTGTTCCATATGTAAGACCGATATCTTCAGGACAACAAAGTTTTGATACAACTCCAAGTGAATTTCCTTTGACACAGCCTATGACGAAAACCACTGCAAAATTACAGGTAACTAATTTTGAGCCCTGCAATTTGATTGTTTTTACTTTGCGAGTGCGAAGTATTCTTATTGTTGTACTTTAGCATATAATTAGTACTAGTTAGAATACGAGCGGTCGATCTGTATGGGTATTTACAACGGCGAGTGCGTTGCACTTGCCATTGTGAGTCCCCATACAGATCGGCCGCGAGTTTTAACGTGCTTGTGAAATGAATAGATTAAGCTTAACGCATAACTAGAGCATGTGTGTAACAAAGTTATGAATACTAATTAAGATTAGTTGTATCAAAGTTAGTATGTGAATTACTATTTCATAATAATAATAATCTTTTATTAGGAAGCTTTTTCATTGTAGAATGGTTTTCAAAAAGGTCCTAAAGATTAAACTATAAAACTAACACTATCGATAAAATACATCGAAGATTACATTAAAAGTTCCTAAATATTCCAGTATGTTTAAAAATTTTAAACTTGCGGCATTACTATATATAGCGTCTCTATTCTAAAGAGTTCCAATCCTTAATGGTATGATAACATACAGTACTATTTAACAATTAGTCGCCCATATTCACTGAGCCGAAAATTGCTTTAGTAGTTTCAGTATTGTAAAAACCATTCTGTTTTAAAAAACAGTCGGAAAGGCTTTGTAAATTTTACTTTGTCGCTCCTAACAGTTTTGAATTATAAAATAAATTAGTAAATTATACGTAAAAGAGTCTTTTCTTACCTTTAAACAATTTCACACAGAAGCTTTAATGTTCTCAATTTCTGCTTCCGAAATTTTTCCAAAACGATTTTGAGTATTTTCAGCCATGTTTTTTTGGGGAAAAGCAATAGTTACTGCTCAGACTGCTCTGAGCAGTAATTATGAGGGAGCCAATCAGAATGCTCAAAGGCCTTTTTTCAATACTGAAAATATACTAATCTGTAATAACCTAATAAAAACCGCAGTTAACCTAGATCAAATCTCGGTATGATCGCGGTTGAACGGAGGTCAGAACGAGGTCGAACCGCGGTGAGACGGAGTTTTAACCTCGTCCTAACTCGGTCTCACACACATTTCTTAAGATGTCTTTGATATGATTATGGTGTTTTCGTTCTCAGCTGTTTATAACATTCTGTTCGGAAGCGAACGGTAACCGCGATTGTATTTTTTCCCCTTGATTGGCAGTTCGTTAATTATTTATGAGTTTCACAATATATAATATAAAATGCTATAAAATAAATGAATAAATGTTTAGGCATCAGGCGAGGCTCAATACACAGATGATATACCCAGGCAAGAGGAAGAAATATATGGAGCATTTGTTACAACAACACAGGTAATAATTTGGACAGCATGCGAAAACTGCAAATTAATAGCGAAAAAGTCGAGTATCATTCTTATACTTTTCTGTTATATTCTGTTGTTGAAGGGTAACTGTAAACTATCGAATGTTGACGTGTCAGAAGTTTTGGTAAGAAAACTTATGAACCTGTTTATTCATGACATGGAGATGTCGATAGGCGATTGTGTAATATTGAGATATTAATTGAAATAATGTAATCGTTTATCGACATTTCCAACTAATTCAGCAGCAGTAAAGAAATGATATCGGTACAGTTAGTAGCAGTCATGACTCGTCACTGAGCAGGAAACGTAAACAGAAGCAGAGCCCCTCCCCCTGGCACAGTCGTAAATGACCCAGGGGGATCAGTTCTGATAATGGTACTTGCTATGGTACAAATCATGGCGAACTTAGATCTCATGCAAAATGACTTTGATGCTGACTTTTTCTATAGTATTCCATGACTCTTAAATTCCTTTTTAGATTTTTTTTTATTTTTGTCAATAATTGTTCGAAACATATTGAACAATATAGACCTTTTCCTTTTACCTACTAAGCACGCATTGCGTGACGGTATAGTTAATTATCAAAATCAATTCAGTTGTGATATCGCTAAGAAACAAATATCGCAACTCAAATGACTCTTATTATCAGAAATTAGTGTTTATGAAGTTTCAAAACGAAAATCTGATCGCTGGTTGACAATTATGCATTTCTGTATCGCTATCAAAGAGAAACTATTGAATAACTTTAAAAAGTTCAATTTTTCTTTTGAATACGCATTCTGCAATCCTTTGACAGCTCATCACACACATTGAGGCTTAAAATATACACAAGGTTATTACTTCAGACGATTCGTTATTTTGCCATGTGCAAGCTTTAAATCTTTTGTGCAAGACATATTTTGTTTATTATCTCTAAATCTTTTTTCTCACCAAGTTTGAAGCCTAAGTATTGAGAATTAAGGCTACGTCTTTTTTAATTTCACCCATTTCCGTGGTGTCGCAGCCATCTTTGGCATTGTATCATTGAAAGGGTATTAAGGTATATTAGTTCAACAACATAATTTTGCATGCTCAACAGTGAATGACCAGTCTTTTATTTGTTTCAGAAATTGCCTGGTGTATTAAAATATATTTCTGCGAAAGATATTCCTGGTGACAATAATTTTATGCCTGATATCTTTGGCAAGGAAAAATTATTTTGCGAGTGCGATGTAGAATATGCCGGCCAGGCGGTTGGAATGATTATTGCAAGTATGTATATTACTTGGCAATTTATAATAGATTTTATTAAGCCAACCCCACACCTGACGTCATCATAATAATTTATAAGTTAACGAGTTAATGCGGTGTTACATTATGCAACTTTCCTTGCAACTTAAAATGCAATTTTACTTATACGTGAACTAGTGAGCCAGAGCTTGGCTGATGAAGCTGCTGAGAAGGTGAAGATAACGTATTCCGACTGCAAGAAACCAATCATATCAATCCAAGACGCGATTGAAGCCTCGTCATTTTTCTCAGAGCAAATTGTAAATCAAACTTTTGGCGATGTTGATGGTAAGAGTGCAATTGTCTTCAGAATACGCGGCAGGAAATGTAACATTGCTGTATGTTAGTGTACAGAAAAGCGTGTTAATGTAAATAAATTAAAAGAAGATTGAGTTGAACTCATGTGCGGGACTGAGGAATAGTAAGATACTACGATTGCTCGTGTTTCAATAGGATATTGTTGCCTTTTCGTGGACCTAACATACTAACAGTAACATTGTAAGCATAATTTTTTTTTGCTTATGCTGGATCTTTTTATCCATTTTTCAGTTAGGTATTTTAATATGTCATTGTTTTTTCGTATGCAAGGCGTTGTTATAGCCTGCTTAGAGTGCCGTCACTGGTGCCCAAAGTCAAAACTGTTTCGTAAAACAAGAAATCTAACTGATCTAAGCTCAGTGGCCAATTTCATTTGGAAGTTTTGTGTTCAACCTAGGCGCCATTGAAATGACGTGGAGTGGAATGACACTCAGTTGAAACGCACCTATATTTTATGTTTTATTCAAAACATTTCATCGTTCATGCATTGTTTATGGCTTTGTTTCCAGGAGCTATGGCATCATCAACCCATATTGTCAGCGGGGAAATTTCAGTTGGCACCCAGCATCACTTTCACATGGAAACACACGTTTGTATTATTTTATTCAATTAATCAAGTACTTAGAATAAATTTAAACTTAGTAGAAGTTTGCCCGTGCAAACTTACCTGAATTTTTTGAAATATTTTTCAAATAGACGTGTCTGTGTATCCCAAGTGAGGAAGAGATGAAGGTCTACGCTGCGACACAATCTACTGAGACCACTCAGTTGTCAATAGCTCAGGTGTTGAACATACCAGTGAACAGGTATTACTATTTAACAATTACTCGTCTCAGGCTCAGTAGTATAAATTTCAAGGTGTTTACAAATAAGAATCAAGACAATTTTATAAAAATTTACAATTAATTAAAATTTCCTTTTTGAAAAAAGCATCGAAAAGCTATAGTCACTGACCAGTGACTGTCACTTGAAAGACATGCAGTGAATTTTCAATCAGAATCACTGAGCAGGAAAATGGATAGTTACCTCGAAATTTATACTAATTAACACGTTTGCTAAGCGTTTACTCGAGCTAAGGGAGAGCTGCTTTAACGGAGAAAGTTTAAAAATAAGAGCAGAAGATTGGCAGGCACAGCAAAAACATCGTAGGTTAACTTGAAGCGAAGGCTATATCTATAAAAGGGGATGGGGAGTCTGTGAATCGTCGATTGCCCATACCCATTTTAGCAACATAGTATAATATTTATACTGATAAATTTTGCAATATAATAGCTAGCAATATAAAAGTGCAGGTATAGCTTTGCAATATAAAAGTGCAGACTTTTAGTTTTGATCGAGTTCACGAAATATGCGTACAGACGTTTAATTTTGATCGCGCAGAATATTTGAGTGCACGCAGTCGTTTAGCTTCGATCGACTACACAGAATATACGCACATTCGTATAGTTTTGATCGAGTACACAGAATATGTATGCAGTGTCGTGAAGCTTCGATCGAGGATACAGAATTTGCGTGAAGTGTCGTTTAGTTTCAATCGAGTACACTTAGAAAGCGTATACAATCGCAAATACTTCGGTACGCATAATAAAACGCACTATTATTACACGTTTTGTAACGTAACGTGTCGTATGTTAGCAAACATTCCTCAGCCGCAGCTGATGTTGAGTACAAAGAAGCAGGAAGTTGAATGAGCCGCTGAGCGCGAATAAGATAGTCACAAATATGTCACATGCGACAATGATTTATTTCGATTGGCTGAAATGAAGATTGGCCGCGTGGGAGAATAAGTCTTTCCCGAAAAAACCGGGCCGAATTTAAGACTCACTTTTTCCCGAGTAATAAAGATAGTGTATGGCAACGTTTTGTTGAACGTCATTTTCAGTGCCTTGATAATACTTTCAGTTGATTACTTCTTTCGCTCTTTGATTAAAAAAAAGTGCAAATAAGAAGAAATACAATCAATGAATATTTCGACCGTAGCGAAACATTATATTACAAGTGCACAAAGAAAAGTAGATTAAACCTCGTAATAAAAACCAAAAATACCGTAAAATGCATGCAAAATCATTCAGTTGCTACAATACTCATCTATATTTTTGTTCTTTTTGCAGTGTCAGTGTCTCGTGTAAGCGATGCGGTGGAGGTTTTGGCGGGAAAGGGAGTCGTGCCGCAGCCAACTCAACAGCTTGTGCTCTGGCGGCTTACATCATGAATAAGTAATTCTGAGTACCCGCATTTAATTAAGATAGTTTTATTACACTAAATACTTACGTGTTTTAGGCCTGTGCGTTTAAGAATGAACTTGAAAACGAACATGGAAATGATCGGAAAGAGATATCCTTACTTGGCGAAGTACAAGGTATTTTCCGAAATCTTATCGATTTATGAGTGCCGAAATCTTATGCATCCGCACATAAAAGTAAGCGATTTCAAATTTGAATAGGTGGCTAAATGTAATGCAACTTGAGCGTTTTTATCCGTGTATTGAATTCTGTTGCATTTGTTTTAAGTTACTTTATAGTTAAAGCTCTGCGTCTCTGCATTTTGTTACAGGTTACTTGAAAATTACTTTGCTTTATAGTTACTTATAGTCCGAGGTAAATAATGTAAAAGCTCCGTTGTTATACAAAGCTCTTTACTTTGGCAAATAACTTAGATTGGGGCTACGAAAGAAGGATTATTGAAAGGCATTGATCTCACATGTTACGCAGCTTGTGGAATTGCGACAACTGAATGTTACCTTCCCTATTTTCCTATTTTAATGGATAATGGTGAGTTAATAATATCATTACTATTTATATTTAATATTCTCATTTCTCAAGTTTCCTTTAAGGTCAATCTTTAAACAGCGAGGTACATTCATGCATCAGTACATATTACGGGAAATAGAAAAATAATTTCATTATAGTTTCCTCCTAAATTATTTGACAGAGAAGTATAAGGGCCTGAATAATTATTATAACGCAATTTCTGAGAACAGTGCTCCCTTCTTTCATTATCGGAATCAGTGTTCCTGGAAAGGTTTTTGTACTACTTTTTTTTAACAACTTTAGCGTATTATTGTGAAAATTGGAAATTTCAAGGCGTTCCCTGCAAGACAAACACAGCAACCAGTAGCTATACACGTTCACCAGGTATGTAAACATTCATGGGATATTTTACACGTTGCTGTATTAGGGAAGACTCTTGGAACATCTGCAGATTTTAACACATTTCTTCTCGAAAATGCATACCTTTGATTTTTTAGGTCGATTAGCAGCGACGTTTATTGCCGAAACAATGATGAATCATTTGGCCAAAACACTGAACACGAGCCAGGATGCGATACGAGAAATCAATTTTTACAAGAAAGGACAGGTATTGAAGTTTTTTAACCTTGTTGCTCTCATAAAGCCTTACAATGACTCAATCCAGAATTTCAACTGTGTGTATGCAAAATTTTAATGGTATGAATTAGACCCCGAACAAATGCCTACGTAGCTAGTTCATATATTTCGATTTTGATTCGTTTCTTTCATTCTTTCAGACAACATACTATCATCAACCTTTACTATACTGCAACATGACTGAAATATGGCAAGGTGAGGTTAAACACTGATAACCAATATTAAAGGCACGCCAGTAGAAGTGCTAGGAAAGCTCGACTTAATTCATCTTGCTTCTATCTTTATCTTAATGAATATCTTGCTTCTACAGTTTCTTTGATTTTTTGTCCACACTTTTTGTTCTTTGTTATTCAAATAAAGCTGGAAATAGCATATAGCAACGTGCATGTAAAACATTTTGTATTTGAAAATTGCAAATTTCATTAGGAATTATGGTCAAATGTGATTATTAATTTGTTTTTCGTAATTTTAGAATTGAAGAAATCAAGTGAAGTTGACAAACGTAGAACTGCTATTGAATCATTCAACAAGGTTTAGTTTAGACGTTTAAGTCTTCATAACTTAAACTTCAGTAAATCAAATAAACCTGACCTAATTGCCACTCGAGGGAGGGAAATTAATTGAAGCTAGTGACTTTTATTTAGCTTTTACGAGTTTTAAGCAGTTCCGCGTTCACAAGGCTTGTAGACCTCTGGCAGCGTTTGCGTGTTATTGTGTTACTTTTCTACTGAAGATCTTGTTAATCTTTGTTTACCTTCTTTTTTGAAGGAAAATCGTTGGCGTAAGCGAGGAATAAGTTTAGTGCCAATGAGATGGGGCGTGGACTACATTCGAGGGTTTCGATACACCGCCTATGTTGCAATATTTCGTAAAGATGGAACAATGGCCATATCACATGGAGGGGTTGAAATAGGACAAGGGATAGACACAAAGGTATACTTCATAAATATATACCAAAAATGAGGGCGGGCATTTTGTTTTAAAAAAAAAGTAGTAGAAACTTTATGTTTATTAATAAAACATTAGAATCACTGGAATGTAATTTTGCACACCTGGAATACAAACAATCTCGTAGCCTTAGATTCATTTATGAAAAAGTTAAATATTTCAACTTTTTATCGTTATATTTATATGTTCTCTCACGAGGAGACCCCATGCAATTCGATTTATATCATGAAAAAGTCAATTTAACTTAGCTACAGAGGTATCAAATTATTCAGCATGCAGATAATGCGAAAGACATTTTAAAATAACATTTGTAGGAGGCTCGCTTTCCCTACATGATTCGTATAAATGATCGCATCATGTTTTATAATGTATATTTATGTGATTCAACACCACGAAAAGCATGCTGTGTGTTTCATTTACTTATAGTCACTCTTTACATTTAGTTTTTTTCCATTCTGAGAGGTTTTTTCCAGTTGTTAATGTTCAAAGGGGTTTCTTAAAATTTTACTAATTCACCCACAAGTTTATAATCAAACGTGTATATCGTCATCCAAATTTTTTTATCTATATTCACTGAATGCAAAGCTTTTCTTTCTGGATCTTTGAAAAATATCTTTAATTTTGTCTAACTGCAGGTTTGCCAAGTCGCTGCTTACACACTCGGCTTTGGTCTGACTGTTGATAAGATCTCAATTAAACCAGCAACAAGTTTCCTTAATCCAAATGGTAGCTATGTAACTAAATTTGTTTCGCGTTTTGCGAGTGTTTTTACGTTAAATCAGATGTGCCAAAAGTGTTGTCCTACTTATTTCCTTTAAAAGTAAATGAAAACAAATAAGTATTCAAACTCAATAAAACGAGTTTGAATGTGTAGCAATATTGTTAACTTTCAACACTATGTATAGTAAAACGGATAAAAGAATATGAAAAAGAACTAAACGATATAAAGCGATTAAATTTGTATCTTTTACCTCTTTTTTATACTCTTTTATCTTTTTATATTGCATAGTGTTAAATAAGTTAACAATATACCCATTCTTTAGAGTATGATAATAATAATAATGAATTAGGATTCAGCTTTCTGGATCAAAAAAATTTTCTCTAGTCTCCTGGGATATGTACATGTATTTTGCATTTGTAATTTATATAGTTATTCTTTATGGCTGAGTGATGGCTGCGATCTTTGAAACATGCGATCTTTTTACTTTTCAACTTTTACTGCCAAAGAACCGCCAACCAACTGTGCATATTCATGAACATAAATTTTAATAGGGGAATATAGTTTTGCCAGCAAAAAAATAGAGACAGATGTGCATCAAGGGTGGAAGATAATAATTATTGAATACCTAGCTAGTGGTGCATATTTGTGATAAAAAATAAGATTTTTACAAACATGCTCTTAAATTTTAAGTATAGTCTGTACATTCCTACTGACATAACTGTTTACAAACATGTCCTCAAAAGTAAATTTCTACTATAGTAATAAAAAGGTCGTCTGCTCTAAAACACTTTTCCGTTTACAGGTTCAACAACTGGAGCAAGTATAACAAGTGAATTATGTTGTGAGGTGTGAAAAGTTCCTACTTGCTTCATTGGGTTTACCACTCAGCTTAGCTTTAAATGATTAAATCCAATGCTTTGAATCCCCTGTAGTTTACCTTTAACTTATTTGAAAATATTTAAAAAACTTTAAAAATCTTGTGTTTGTGTAGGCGATCATACAATGCTGCAATATGCTCAAGGAAAGAATATCACCCGTAGCAAAAGATATGCCACAAGCCACATGGCCTGAGATCATTGACAAGTGTTATGAAAAGGGTGTTGATTTGTCTGCAAAATACATGTATGTACCAGAGAGGCCGCAATCATGGACAAAACTGTTAATAAAAATAACTAAAATCATAAAAATATTGTTCTCGTTAATCTTAAAGCAAATATTTACCCCTTACCGCCCGAATCAATGTTGGATACGTTGTCGCATTGACTTTGCTTAGCAAATGCAACATTGGCAATGAGATGGGGAGAATTTCACCCGAAACAAGTAAGTTAGTGTAAATGGAACCTGAATTTGCTTTAATAAACAGCCTTATTAACAGGTTTTGTCCACGATTGTGGCTCGCGATACAGTTTTCAAAATAACACAAGGACAAGTTCAAACTATGCATTTTTAGTATAAACGCATAGTTTGTGGGATATTAGCGATTAATTAGCCCGCAAACTGAGGGATGTTTAGGAAACAACCTGAGGCTAAGATGTAATAAATTATTCCACATATATTGTTTTTTAGCCGAGAATCGCCTATCGGCTGGAATAGATGGATAGGGAGTACGGTGTCCCCCAAACCTGAATAAAAAAGTTTAAATATAGGTCTACGTAATAGCATTCTTTGGCATTTATTTAGTAATTTGTTTATTTTTTCAACCAATATAGGATTATGTGAAATATTTAAAAAAATATATGGAATTCAAATGATCAAACGTCTTACTCTAATATGTTTAATACATCATCTCATAAAACAACATCTCATAATGACTTCAAAAGAAGAAATCCTGATGTTACATGACGTTTGATTTGCCCGTTAGTTTTGCGGATTCATACAGTTGCGGAAACAGTTCATACAGTCAAATTGTGCATGAATATATTCGCCGTCAAGCTTGGTACTCCTATATACTGTAGTTTAAATCTGTAGCTTTACTGGTTGCGCGATCCGTTTATTATTCATTTAGATGGTCTTTTTTAAAATGTTTGTTTCTTTTTAGGATATTACCAAAGCCTCCTCAGCCGGCTTTTAATTATAACATTTTCGCTGCGACTTGTACGGAGGCGGAGATTGATGTGCTCACTGGTGAGACAGAAATACTCAGAACGGATATTTTGTTTGACTGTGGAAAAAGGTAGACAGTTATTCCGTTAGCTTCGTGCATTATTCCCCGTCCTTTAAGAAAAAGACTTGCGCAGTTAAGTCAACGAGGAAGTGGAAGGAAGTGTTCTTTTTTGCAGCATGAATCCTGAAATTGACATTGGACAAGTGGAAGGAGCATTCATCATGGGTCTTGGTTATTGGTTGACTGAGAAAGCAATATATGATCCTTTGTCTGGTCTGGAACTTACCAATGGAACATGGGTAAATAACGCTTTACATATCATTGGTTTGGGGTGGATATAAATGGGAGATAAGCTACCAAACATTTTCGAAAGTTTGAAACTTAAAAAAACCGCTTTTGGAAACCTTCTTATACAGCAGTTATATACTAATTGATATTTGAATGTATGTTTTAATATTAAATATAAATATCTATTAGCTCAGTTTAAAATTTTTTGTCATGTAGCTACAAATTAGTTTTCCACGATTATTATCTGTAAATTAGTTATAGAAAGCCCTAAAGAGAATAACTAGTAAAATTGTTTGCATGTGTACTCCAATTTCCCCGCTGAAATGTTGATTTTTTCTTCAGGATTACCACCCCCCGTCTTCGAAAGACATTCCAATAGATTTCCGGGTGAGCCTTCTTAAAAATGCTCCAAACCCGCTTGGTGTTCTTGGCTCAAAAGGTAATTTTATGTCAATTATATATGTAGCGATATTTTTGGTTTAGATGTATTCAAGTGGTTTAAGGTATTTACCTCTTTGTTTGAAACTGAGTGTTGCCAATTGTCAAATATAGTTTTTCGCATAAAGAGATGTTGAAAGATCCGACATCTTAGATAAAATTTTTATATCCTTTGCTGACGAAACGTGAATAACAATACCGAGCTACTCTCGAGTGACCGAATAACAATTACCCATCGTCAATCGCCTGTTGTTAATTCAATTATGCCCTTCGCTTTATTTGTGGTTTAAAGCTGCTGGTGAACCACCTCACTGTATGTCATCTTCCTGTTTGTTTGCTGTCCAAGATGCGATATATCACGCTCGTGAGGAGACTGGGCAAGACAAAGGTTACTTTCCGCTTGATGGTCCAGCTACAGTTGAGGCCACTCAGTTGAAGTGTTTAGTTGATCCAACACAATTTATTATTTGACGAATGCGAAGGAAACTGAATTGACTAATTGAGAAACACAACCTTGCTCATTTTTTGCTAGGCTCATCAGCCTGTGAAAACGAATCGAATTTACGTCATTTGAAGTATGGTTTAGAACTAGGCATAAAACAAACTTACACAATATTAGAATTTTGTACAGGCTAGGTCGGTGATACTAGTACTTATGGCCTATTTTATTATTATTATTATTATTATTATTAAAAATATTTCAACAAGGTAGTCTTTGACAATTAGCGATTTTTAAAGAGCCGTGTACCACACAAGTATAATAGAAATACCATATTAGTCTAATAGAATGAATAGTAATTCACGATTTCACTAACTAGGACGAAGACTTCTGTAATCTATAATCATGAATCAGTTAAAATAATTTTTAAAATTGTACTAAATGAATTTACTGATTGACTCTCAACTACATCTTGTATGATATTGGGAGGTAGCTTGTTCCAAGAAGCTGCTCCACAATAAGCGAAACTCCTTTTTAAAAGCTTTGTTTTTGGCTTAAACAGACAGATTCGATCCTATAATCGGTCTGTGAAAACGAATAGACCTTCCTTATAATGACGATAAAGAAATGCTTGCAGGTATATCAGGTATATAGTAGAAACTGGGGATGGGGAGTCGATTCCCCGATTCCACATAATTAATTAACCTGCGCTATCATTTACAAAAACACTCAGCAAGCGTCTTGTTTGTGCACTAAGTCAGTCATTGTTGACTGACACTTTAACCGAAAATTACGTCGACTAATTGCAGCTAATTTGCATGACCTGTGCATAATGAGTGACCTCGGCAAATATTTAATACGTCTTTGTTTATGTTACGTCGCAGTTTCCGCTGCTGGTCAAATAGGTGAGGTGATCAATTTATATGGAATAAGAACAGCCAGGCTTTCAAGACGGTTTCAAAAGAAACAAGTGAGTCGCAGGTATTTCACCAATATGATGTACTTGTAAAACGTAAATGCGTTGTCGAATAAACGGTAACATTTTCGTGCGATGCCAGGAATGCAAGTATCCTAGCTTTATAAATAACCATATACCCGAACCGTCGAGGTATTACAAAACATCTACTGTTTATACGGTCGATATGCCAAATGTCTAGCAAAAACACGAATCCGTTCAACCTATGCATGTGGACAAATCGAGAATACAATCAGTCTAGAGTATGGTTCTTTCTTGATATCTGCATGGGAGTTGCTCTTGCATGTAATGTAGTAATGACACAGAGCGCCCGACTGTGAAATACAGGGATAAACACATATGGTTTTGAAGTGTAAAAAAAATTTCCCAAACCGGTATTGTCCTTGGACTTTGTACTCAATATTAAGAGTACTCAAATTCAATATTGTCAAAATATCATTATAATCGAGACATGCGCATGTCGGCAAATTCGTTCGATAAACATCATTACATAAGTCCAAGGCTCGTACCACCGGCGGCAGTATTATACACACTAGCCGACAATCCCCATAGCTTGTTGTATTTCTTCGTGTAAGCAGAAGAATTTTGGTTAAAACCTTGTTGCCCCAACACTAACAGTACTTCCTACGACGTACGTGCATGGGCTTACAACGAAGCCTATAGCTTCGATATTTAATCGTATTATCTTGTAGTTAATTGTGTGCATTAAATATGGCGATTTATGACAAATTACCGGTTTACATACATTCAGCAGTGAAGATGTTACTGCTGAATGTATGAAAACCGGTAATTTGTATGTAATTTGCGGTCGCGACTAAGATAATACCCTATGTACCAGGTTATGCTGACATCTTGGCATATGACATTTTTCGACGACAAACGTCCGTAGCAGAGGAAATATTTTCACAAATATTTTTCTCACTCCACTGTTTACATTCTCCTTTGACCCCTGTGCCGTAGCCAGCTGACGATATTGCCCGCTATGTAAATTTCGAGTTATTATATTTATTCATTTCTTTAGAAATTCGTTGTTTTCACAGTCAATGAACTCCAAAATATTAGCATAGCGGGACAAATCGTCAGGCTGGCTACGCGACTGTTTGACCCTGGTCCGTATTCCTTCGACTCCTTGATGAACTCAAATAAATTTGTTACAGCAAGCAATCGCTGCACTGATGACTGTATTTTTCGCGCAAGCTAAATTTCCCTTCGCCGTTTTCTTTATAGAAGTTGAGAGTTTAAAAAAGTGAAACAAGAGAGTATAATTTTCAGACTATCATTGAAAATTTTATTCTAAAAGATCTCAAGACTCAACGTAGCGATTTTATCATGCTAACGTAACGTTAAACAAAAACTCGTCCGTGCAGCGAGTCCGATTTCGGCAAAATTTTCAAACATCACTTGTATCAATAATTCCAAATTTGAACCATGCTCACGTGGAAAAACCCCAGAGTACCAGGTACGGAATCTCACTGATTTAAGGAAACTTTCGTTCATGCATTCTGTATAGACAGTAGAGTAGGTTGTACTAGGCACATGATTCTAATTTAGGGATTCCAAGAGGAATAATTCCTATATTCAACCCTAGCCGACGCTACCTGTGTACCATTCCTTAGTAAAACCAATTCCACTACTAAGTGGCAAACAGGATTTGTATTTTCATTGCTTCAGTCCAGATATCAATAGAGTGACAGTGATCGTTCGTGATTCTACACGAAAATGTCCGAGGAACCAGTAGTTACAGTGCGCCTTGAAGTTAACGGTGTGAAGTATCTTATTTCAAACACAAGTTCAACGACATCGTTTAATGAATGGCTCAGATCACAACCTGGACTGAAAGGTATGGAACATTTTCAGTCATGTTTTGATATCACTGTTTTTGAGAGCGATTTAGTTTATAAGGAGACCTTGCCAAATGCCAATATTCTGTTTCTTTGCTAAACTAAATTTTTCTCGAACATAGACTTTACATAGTGTCATCACAACTTAAATTGACTTTCAGTATCAACTACCGTAGGCATTGCGAGAATAAAAGCGGTTAAAAGGTCTAACGCAAACTCAACCTAAATTTTTATTCCTCAGGTTTAGGCAGTATTTTCATCACAACGATCATGTGTGTGTTTAATATCATCTTCTAGGTACTAAGGTGACATGCCAAGAAGGTGGGTGTGGCGCCTGTGTTGTGGTGTTGACAAAACAAGATCCAGCCACGAAGAAGGACAAAGTGATGGCCGTCAACAGCGTAAGATGCATTTTTTAGAAAATAAATTTCGCTTCTTTCCTCGGCAATGTTATATGTTTACGACTAGAAAGATTTAAAACCGCTCCCGACTATTTGTTGAGAAACTAAAATCATTATCAGAATAAGGTTTAATTTAAGGTTGTGTATGAATCGTCGATATAAAATAAGCATCGATTACGAAATATACACTCATCAATATTAGGACTAACTCTTCCCTAGTGAACAAACTTCCCCATACATTACTAGAAGATGTACATTTTGGGGGAAAGTCCCTACCTTAACACAATGGAAAAGCCGCTGACAAGGTCCTCTGTATGCTCAGAGTTTAACATGCTAAGAATTGAATCCTATCTATTGCTTTTCGTAGCACGATTTTTTCTTATATTTCATCAAATTGCCTGCTGATGAAGGTCTTTAGTGACATATATTTCGTTAATTTTACAGTGTCTTCTTCCTCTCTTCGCTGTGGATGGATGTAAGATTACAACGACTGAAGGATTGGGGAGGTAAATTTTCACTCCTTGAATTTGGCTATTCTTTGGAGTCCGAAATGTGCTTTCCTTTTTTCCTGTAACAGACTGAAGTCAATAGTAACACCAGCAAAACGTCTCTCAATTTAGCAACAAGAACGGCGGAAGTAGGGGGAAGGGGGCTAATATTTATATATTCACCTTCAGCATTGTTAGTTCTTTTTGAAATTGATGTTCATACGGCCTGCTAACATGAATATATGAATATTTCCACATCACTTAAAGCTCTTCCGCCGTTCTTGAGCAATATTTATCACTTTCATACTATATATATGTTCAAGGCAGATAAATATATCACACTTTATAGCAAGAAATCCCACTACGTTCGTCGTATTTCAAGTATTTCGGCGTTTGCAATACCCAACTTACATGAAAAAAGTGAACCAATATTTCTGATTCCTTTTACTCTTTCAACAGCAGCCGCTCTGGTTATCATCCTATTCAAGAACGTATTGCGCAATATAATGGCAGTCAGTGTGGTTTTTGCACTCCGGGAATGGTAATGAATATGTACGGGTAAGAATACAAGACGAGAAGGAAAAAATTGCTATAATTATTTTTGCAGGCAAAAACTACGTAACCTACCGACCTAAACATCAACCAACCCACTACCAAGATAGTAGCTATAGGTACCTACAGTGCCTACCACCCCCTCGCATGATTGCACCCTGTAATCAATCTTTATTGGTGCCCATGATGCACCACACTTTAATTACTAATTAAGCCCATCGTAAGCAAAAGAGTAATGTGATATTTCAGTCCACCATTGTTCCTATTAATATTAAGATTTGAAATTTGACACGTCCGAGACATTTATTCGACTGGCTCCTACAAACCGCGAGAGTTTTACGACCCATTTGAAATATGAAACAAAATTCTAAACCACAGTCGGTTGCGGTATATGTTTGCTAGTGTTTGAATTAATGTATATTAATATCCACCTGAAATGGCAAAAGGCTGCAAATAGGAATGTCATATGCAACTAATGCAAGAGTAGTTTTATGACAACATAGTATAGTCATATCCATAATATGTCCCCCAAACATATGGAGGAAAATGGTGGATCGTTAGGTTGGTGACTGTTTTTCACTCTCGCATTAGTTCCTTTTTGTGCCAACTCCTGAGTTACAATTAATGAACCCTTCTTCATTTTCGTTTGTTTTCTAAAAGATTACTCTCGGGAAATGCTCAACCGACGACAAGATATTGAAGATGGTTTTGATGGCAACTTATGTCGTTGTACAGGTAAAAGACATTTTGAAGCTTTAAAACGATGCTTTAGTGCGAGTTTAAACCGCTATTATGAAAAAATGAAAGAAAAAACTTAATGGCATGAGGTTTCCACCCAACCTGCTTATCTCGGCACTGTCACACATATAGAGAAATAGAATATGGCAATTTCAAACTCGAAGGATGACCTCGATGATTTTATCCTAAAACGTGGGGGCAAGGAGGGAGGGGCAGGTCACGCTGCAGCTATTCCTCTCCCCAATTATCTTTGTGGAAAATGGCGGCGTCATTTCTTGCACACGGAATAAAATGTTAATTTGCCATTTGAAGTTTGATGCATGTTTTCGTTAAGGTGTATGTATCTAGTATGCACTCCTACAACATACACTTTTCCTAACTATTAAAACACAACATGGTTTATCCTAATTTATTATTAATGTTTAGGTTTCCGTCCCATACTTGATGCGATGAAATCGTTTGCGAAAGATGAAAATCCCATTGATATTGAGGTATATAATATGCGGTCAAACCATGAGCTTTTTTATGTCTTTCCCACTTTTTTTACCCTCAGCCAACTTTCACACACCAAGGTTCTGTACCCCCACAAAGCTATAATCAGGGGGTGTGGGGGAGGAGCCGCACTATCCTTAGTTTTAGATAGTCTCTCAGTTGGCGCAAAATTGTACAATCTATCCCACTATTAAATAGTTCCACCTCTGGGTGGTTCCTGCATTTTATCATACCTCTTGGTGGTTCCTGCATAGTAACCTTCCGCTGGGTGGTTCCTATATGCTACCATACCTCTGGGTGGTTCTTATTATTACCATACCTCTTGGTGGTTCCTGCATAGTAACCTTCCGCTGGGTGGTTCCTATATACTACCATACCTCTGGGTGGTTCCTGTATATTACCATACCTCTTGGTGGTTCCTGCGTATTAACATACCGCTGGGTGGTTCCTATATACTACCATACCACTGGGTGGTTCCTGCATATTACCATACCTCTTGGTGGTTCCTGCATAATAACATACCTCTGGGTGGTTCCTATATACTACCATACCACTGGGTGGTTCCTGCATATTACCATACCTCTTGGTGGTTCCTGCATAGTAACATACCGCTGGGTGGTTCCTATATACTACCATACCTCTGGGTGGTCCTGCATACTACCATACCTCTGGGTGGTCCTTCATACTACCATACCTCTGGGTGGTCCTTCATACTACCATACCTCTGGGTGGTCCTTCATACTACCATACCTCTGGGTGGTCCTGCATACTACCATACCTCTGGGTGGTTCCTACATACCTGCAGCTCTTTTGCAACTGTATCCATGAGGGTAAAAAAATCATTATGTAATACGTTTCGAACTATGTCCAGGACCTTCGCAGATGTCAAAGAAAATGTTGTGATGAGATTAAAACATGTCACGGTTGTTGCTTCAGTGAGGGAGAAATGTCTGCACACCCGTTATGGTTTAAACCTACATCTTTGAAGGATCTCTATACGATACTGGATTCACATCACTCTGAGGCCATCAGATTGGTCGCTGGTAACACTGGAAAAGGTAGTTCTTGAGAAAATTACAGTTTTTTTGTATGACTTTTTATTCATAACGCAACCGAAAACGTAATAACTGATTGATCAGGTTGGCTACACTATGCTTTTCCGTCAAAATTGGGTTTGGTAGTATCACTGATATGAACTTGACTCGATAGATACGACTTGATCTGTAATTATAATTGTAATTCATTCTATCGTTGCACAAGAAACTGACGTACTGCATATATATATTCAGGTGTTTACAAAAACGATGGTAATTATGACGTTTTCATTAATATTGCTGATGTTCCTGAACTAAATACCGTACAGGTAATATAGTTTGTTTCCATTGTTTGTGTTACGTGACTTAACTTAAACTTAAAACAAGATCTGCTGCTTCACATGCATGCACACTGATCTCATCCAACCTTCAACTTAAACTTCATAATCCCAGTAACTTAATCCCTCTATTAATCTCAGTAATCCTAACTTTACAATTCAAATGTACCGCATTATCCTCGGCAATCTGAACTCTACAAACTCAAATCTGCAAATTTAGGTAACTGAGACAGCTTTGCAGCTTGGTGCAGCAATCTCTCTAAACAAAATGATCGGAGAGCTGAGAGCCAATTCTTCCAAATCCAAGTCATTTAAAACTCTTGCAATTCATATCAAGAAGGTAAAGTAAATGCGGCAAAATATACATTTACTTTCATGAAATTATGAACGATAAAGCAGTTAGTTCTGTTAACCAATAATGGTAAATATATTTCTTTTTTAACATATTGCCTGAAACAAGTTTTGCTCGAATGCCTTGCTTGTTACTGTAGTTAAAACTCGATCAGCTTCTTCACTCCTCGTGAATATCGTTAATACGATTTTCCTAGAGCTTCGCGTTCATTCATATTTTGCATCATTCCACTTTTGTTGTATAAGATTTAAGTTATTCATTGAGTTTGTTGTTTTGTTGCGAATAATACCAATGGTCACACGGGGTGTTTCATGACATCGCATGAGAAAATAGCTCGTGTAATTGGGGAACAGGCGGAAATGGAAAAATATTTACTATTTCATGTAATTTTGGTGAACTGGCGTAAAAAGTGAAATATTTATCCCACCTGTTGTTTACACCTTGCAACAACCTCTCCAAATCAAGGTCTTTCCCGAAAAAACCCTTAACAATATGTTTTTATATTGTTCACAATTGCACACACGTTTAAATCTCTCCCTGCAACATCTCCCACCGTATTACCGCACCTTAAGACTATAGAGTTGATATAAAAACGTCGACTGCGGTTGTTAGACTACACTGACTTTCGAGCAACCAGCCCACTGCCACAGTGTAACTAGGGTACTGTTCCATGTACTTACTTACCACCTAAGCATGAAGCTGTTAATTAATAATATACACCTTGTAATTTTTTTCATTTTTTTTTAGATTGCCAACGTCCCAGTCAGAAATGTAAGTATTAACAAAAATATCACGATTTATTAAAAATACTTCTTCAGCATGCTAACTAGAATAGCATGTGGGGGGGGGGTGAGGATGTGGGGCATGCAAGGGGGACAACATTCTCTATGTTAACTAGGATAGCATGTGGCGGCGAGGGGTGCGGGATATGCAGGGGGGTCAACATTCCCTGTGTTAACTTGGTTAACCAGTAGTAGCGAAGGGTGCGGGGCATGCAGGGCGGACAACGTTCCCTTATAATTTCCAGAATCGGTTTCAGTTTTGTACAAATTCAACGAGATTAGAGCATCAGATTTATTCCAGACTTCCGCAGAATACGCCCAATCAAACAAATTTAAGTAATATACAGCAAAATTTAATGCATTAATTTTGTTACCATTTAGCAGAATGATATTGGACTAATAATTCCAATTTTCCCTTCTATCTTAAATAGGTTGGCTGCTGGGCTGGAAATCTGATGATGATTCACAAGCATCGTGATTTTCCGTCAGATATGTTATAATAATGTGCGCTGTTGGAGCCACTGTTGTTATTGGTAAAGACTAAAGACTCATTTCTTCTTCAAAACACACTTTTTACAACAATTTTCTATTTTAGGTAAAGTTGATGGATCAACACAGTCCTATGGTTTGGAAGATTTTCTAAATGTTGACATGCGGAACAAGGTAAGCGTTTTCCCGTCCAGGCCAAATACAATCTGCCCCAATAATTTTTCATTAACATCGTCATTGTTGTAATATAATTTTCTCCAGGTGCTCCTCAGAATCGATATTCCGTTTACTGCCAGTGATGAATTTGTAAGCACCTTTAAAATCATGCCACGACACCAGGTAAGAAAAGCGCTTGTTAATTTTTCAGAACACGAGATTTTATTCTCCGTATTTACTTGTTTCCCCCAGCGCCGACGGACGAAACTTACTTCTAGGTCAATATTTATTATTTTATGTATTTGAATCCCTCCCGCCCAAAAAAAATGTTTCCACAAATGTTTTAACACAGCCGGGGTTTCGTAATCATATATTCGTCTGGTTTATACCACATTTGATGCGACGTTGTTAGACGAGCTTGCCACGCAGCTCTTGGTTACATTGTCGTTTAATTCCTACATTAGAATGCGCATGCGTACGTCAATGCTGGATTCAAGGCTACGATGGACTCAACCTATGCGATAAAAGGAATTCCAAGTTTAATGTTTGGTGGTGTGAAGCTTTCTCCGGTAGGTATGATGAATGCTGTGTGAGATCGTGAGATCAGTTGTGTGAAATCGCCATTGCATCACACCCACACTTCATACGTATGTTTCTCGTCCTGTCGCACCTCAATTTCGAGTTTTCAGCACTTTTAATCTATGACGTGACATAAAACGAATAAACTTCTGACCGTTAAGAAAAACCGAGAAGACGATATGACTTTCTCAGCGAACATGAAGCGAAATTTTGTTTATTACATAGGTTAATAAAAAAATCATTTCGATCATCGAACATCCGAAATCCGGCGTAATTTTTTAAGGCTTATAATGTAATATGTAATTATAATTGCACGAAATATTGAATCTTTTTAAATTAGACAACAAAAACTTCCCGACACCTCTACCTAAAGGCCAGCGTTGTAATCCTCTGCATGAGTACCAGCCAAAAATATATTTAATGGTGGATGCACAGACTATTGTACAGTCGAAAGCTCGAGAATATATTAAAAAAAGTTCATTTTCGGAGTTTTGTGTTCATTAAACTTTTACTACATTTTTGTCATAAAATGCTGTTTAAAATTTTGTTTAGTTTCGGGCAAGCGGTACACAGCAGTATCTTTCAGGAAAGAATATTCTCGACTCTGAAACATTAAAAGGTAAGAATTTCAAAAACACGTTGTGAAAACTTTGCGAATCTCCAAATATCCCTCGCTTCTGATATGTATAATTATTTAATTATTTAATTAATTTATTTATAAATCCCCATACAATATATATGGGGATTTATAGGGTTAGGGTTAGCGTTAGGGTCAGAGTTGGACAAAATGTATGGGACAAATTTATAATTCACCCGTGCCATCTCTCCGTTGAAAACAGGAAAGCACGACGTGCAAGTTAATAATCTTGACTACACCAACACTGACTTAATCCTTTTAATTTGGTACAGACATCATTCCCAAGTGTTTTAAATTTGGTTCAAATTCTTGATGTTCAATAACTATCTTAGTCCTAGTCTATCTTTAGTCTACCTTAGTCTTTAATCCTAGTCTAACTTTAGTCTCTATATATCACCACAAATATATTGTAAATTCATTTACGTTCCCAGTTCACTTTCTGATATCAACAATATAGGTTGTATGAATGCATTGGGTAAAGAAATTATACCAGAGTCAACACCACTCACTGCAAGTGCAGAATATCGCAAAAGTTTGGCTCTTTCTTTGTTTTATAAGGTAAGACGACTTATGCTATGCAGTCACGACGTGTCTCAGTAGCTTAGCCCAGCCTGATGGTTTTTTCCCCTTATGCTAAGATTTTAGTGTTTATTAAGCTCGGTTTACACTATGAATTCGGTATAGTGTAATCAGCCAAACGGGGCGCCAAATCGTCAGAACGGCTACGCGACTGCTTAGTTCTCTCATATATGCATTACCGTGTGAGGAAACATGATTTTAAAACTGCAGTTACGTCGGACTAAATAAAAACTAACCTTTTTGGCTCAAGAATCTAATTGCTGAAACACAATAGATCTCTTTATAATATAATCATTTTGTTTTTCTTTTGATTAGTTTTATCTTAGTCTTCTTGGTGATAAAGCAAGTTCCAGAGTGATTTCTGCTGCTGTTCCGTATGTAAGACCGATATCTTCAGGACAACAAAGTTTTGATACAACTCCAAGTGAATTTCCTTTGACACAGCCCATGACGAAAACCACTGCAAAATTACAGGTAATTGTAATTTGACTGTTTTTTCTTTGCGAATACGAAGTGTCCTACTGTTATACTTTAGCATGTATATAATTAACCAGGTTTCGGCATGTTTTTGATGCCATATGCATGCATGAATTTTGTATCTTTCGCGACCTTCGCTTAATTACGGCCAGATTGTGTCGAAATCGCCACGTACCGCCGTTACTGCACACGATGAATGCCTCCTTTTCATCCACAATTACATTTCAATAAACTGATTGATCAAACCGGAAATTGAAACCAATAGTATCACTCGGAAGTGAAAAATCATGCAAACGTTTATCTGGTTTGTGAATCAAATAGCAAATGTTCAAAATTATATTTAAAAGTCTTATATAGACAAACTTTATTGTGCCATGCATTCGAGGTTTTTTCAAAAAATCAGCAGCGCCAGGGTCGAATTTCCTCAGTACGTACCTATATGAACAAGCTTTATGATAACAATAAAATACAATGAACTATAGAAATTGACTTCCAAAAGAACGAATCATAAACACTGTTCACTATTGTTACAAAAGGCCAATCACAAAACTCGTTCATATTAGGTAGATACTTACTGGCGTCGAAGTGGCTCCCTTGCTTAAAGATTTAGTTGAGATTTATTTAAAAGTACTAAAAATTTACTTTTATTACGCCAAATTACCTATATTGTCCCCGGGCAACAATCAACTAAACAAACAAGACACAACCCCCCCCCCCTCAGGCACGTGGAAGGTATGTAACACGCTATCTTGCTCACGTGGCCATCAACCAATCAAATGAATAAAGAAATAAGTATCCTGAACTTAATGGGCTTCAGCTTTCCTACGTCAAACGTGGGATAATCACTAACGTTGCTCCTCCCAAATAATAGTTTTAAAGAAAGGTTTTATATTTGTCAAAATTCCTGACCACGCCACTCCTATGAATTATTTCCTGTGTGGACATGTCAATTGGAGTTTTTTATATTCCTTTTCATTAAGATAAAAAAGATAGCTTGCATTGTCATTTAAGGGTGAAGTTTCAATTGACGGAAATTTCTTGTGCGAAAAAATGTGCAATTTTATAGATCTTATTGTGCGGTTTCGCTACACAATGTAAGCCTGATCGGTCGCCAGGTGTGAAATCTCTTTCTGTAAAATATTCTTCTTCCTTTCTTATATTTCATCATTCTTATTATTTTTGATGACGCCGAAACACTATCTGTTAGTATTAATGAAATTCTATATTTATATAATGCATGAATCTATATGTTTTGTTAAAGAAATGAGTAGGAGTAAGGGACGACGTACGAGTGTTTTTAACAGTTTCACCCACGTTCAATTAATATTTTGTTTGCGTTGGCGAAGTCATTTATAAAGATAATTTCGTAAAACCCAGGAATTGAAAGCTAAAGTTGACATCAGAGGAAGGAAAATATTCGCGCGTAAAGAGGCGAATCAATTCTTGAACTGCATGATCGTATAGATTTTTCCTAATAATTCTTTTCAATATGAAGGTTTAGAAAAAAAACTCATGTGTAATATTTTCCCTAATATTCCGCAGTACAAATGAGGAAGGTCATCACGCCTGAGCAACATGATATATTTGTTGAAATGAATAAGTGATAAATAGATGTAGCTAATCAATATTCTCATATATATTTGTCACGAAATTCGTGTCAAAAAAAAAGAACACTAGTTAATATCAACGTATTGCATTACTTATGTTTGGCGAAATTAACATTCACACAATTAATACTGCTTTATTTCATATGCATTATAATGTTATTAAGCGATATCTGCCGAGTGTTTACATGCAGCTAGTTTTTTTTAATTGAATTTTCACCGCATGAAAGAGAGTGTGTTTTTAAATATAGAAAACAAATTATTCTTTTTATAATGCTCCACGAAAATTTAGCAAAACATGGCGATTTTAATTGAACTCACCGCAAAGGTTGAAAACTCACAGTGCAACATTGGACGGCCACTGGTGTGATGAAACAACGTTCCCAGTTGGCCTGTGGCGTGCGGAAGTCTTGAATTTTTCACTTTTTCACGGGGAAAAGGCTATATATATATGTGGATTTGCGTTTGATTTTCGTCTAAAACCAATCGCCAAGTATTTGAAAGACTATTCATCGTTAAAAAGTAAGTGTATCTGATCAGCTTTTTTTATACTGTTCCTGATTCGTATAAGTTCAAAATGTAGGCTACATATATATTAATAATTATGCATGCGATTAGGTAAAATTACAGCGATCTGCAAAGTTCGATCTCTGCATATCCATCTTTGATCGATTCATACAATTTTTTTTAGTTTTGTTTCTAATCACAAACGTTTTATTATTGGAAATAATTTATCGCTTTATAAAAAAAGCAAAAGTCATTAGGAAGCTACACACTTTTCTTTCATTCTAAATTGGGAGTAAATCATTATATCCAATCTATTAAAAGTTTAAACAAACATGTTATATACCAAACAACAGCATTGTAAATTCAACGCTGTTTCAGTAATTGCATGCATCCCATATTTTCTTAAAGCGATTTAAATCTCTTTTCAACTATATTTTATGTATAATATGAAAGTTCTTATAATATTTCAATTCTTATGTGTTTAGTTTCTTTCTGATTGGTCAAAATGTTTTTCAAGTTTTTCGTGATTGGTTGTTTTATCGCCATAAAGATGAGCTACGGTATGCCACTTGAGAAAGATTGTGATCCTGTTTATTTCTGCACTGATAGAATCGATTCGGTTGGAGGAAACAAGATGCAGCAAAAGCCGATTGAATTTGGAAACTCAGTCCCTACCGAAAGAGGAAATTGGAAGAATAAAATCCAAATGGCTTTATTCAGGAAACCAATCACTCAAAACAATAATGATGATCCTATATTTCAAGAATGATCTATGGCTAACTCAGAGTATAAGAAACTTATTAAAGGTCGACCACCGCTTATCAGTAAACAATTTTCCGAAACATAATTGTTAATATATATATGTTATAAGTTAACGCTATATATACTTGATTTGTTTACGGAATAACTACCAATCTTCTTCAGCCACTATACCAAATGAATATGCTTAGGCCATTATTATATTCTGACTTCTTTCATTTATTTCTATTCTCAATAAATGGTTGGCAAAACATGACATATATGTGTGTTGCAGATTCATTAATATAACGTTGAGCAGCAGACTCGCCTAGGGCCCTTGCAGTCATAAAAGCCGGAAAAACGCAATGATTCAGGTACATTTTGGGAGCAAATGAAAAAACAGTTGTAGCGAGGACACCAGACATTAAGCCGTTCTCTCACTCTTTGTTCAGTAATCCGTTTACCTATATGGACGTCGTCAGTTAACAAGAGTATTAAAGTTAAAGTCGATTTATCTTAGTATCGACATCTTTAGAAAACCTTTTACGCTAAGATACCAGAAAAGCGGAATCTATTGTAGCAGCTTTGCAGCTTTATGAAGTAATTACTTTCGATAATAAAGGTTCTTGGAATTAACAAACCTAATATATATCATTGCAGGCCTATTCTATAGTAAATCCACAACAAGCACAACAAAGAGAATTATCGTTTGGGGTGAAACATATAACATCACTCTCCAACTTCTTCACATTTCAAAAAAAAAATTCTCCGTCATCTAATTCTAACGAGAAGCCCGTAATCTAAATCGATTTCCACTATATTAGGATATTTAATTAGTATCTTGCATATTAAATGTCCATCTATCAATTAATCTCCATCTATCAATTATGTTTCTACATTTAGAACACCGTGCAATTAAACTTTAAGATAAATTATGCAAAAAGTAATGTAAGATAACTCACTACATTTCTGGAATTAAAGAAGAATCACGATTCGCATTCGATACATAGGCAGTGGTTTTCTTCCTAAAGGGAAAGAAGTGTGCAACATATATGAACCACCATTCTAACAGTCAGGAACAATAAATATGACGTAATTGCTTCATGTTGTCGTGGTAACAGTGGCGATTCCATATCGCTAAAATTTTACCTTTCATGCATGTTTAAAAGATTAATATTGTCACATGCGTGAACAATTTCCGACCGTTATTATATTGGTCAATATATAGCTGTGGTGTATTTTTTCTTTAGAAAAAAGATTTCTTTTGAAAACATTAAATTTATATCACAATACAATTATACCCAGGCAATAAATTCTGGGATTGAATTAAAGTGCCCATGTCATAAAATGGAAATTTAGATTTTTAGAATCTTTGTTTGAAATGAGTTAGTAAGTTCTAAATCAAAATTGAAATTGGATTTTAATTTTTCGAGTTATTGCCATCTAAATATTGATTTTAGTGGAATGAAAACTCTGAAAACCGCGCAAATGAGACTGGTACGAAACAAGGTGTTTGACGTCACAATAAAAACTCTTTCGACGCGACAATTTAGTAACTTTATTGCATGGAGTAATAAGTAGAAGCTAACCTCGCAAAAGGTGGTTGTTCTTACTTTTGCGCCAGATGTGTTAGATTTTTCACATAATATCGATAAGTTTCATTGAACTATTTTGGGAACTCTACTCATACTCTAGCTCAGTTGACTTGTATTAATTTAATTTGTTATATAGGTGCTGTGTATTTTAAATGTGATCGATTCATTCGTAGTTACATGACTTTAAATAAATGCAATGTTTCAGTGAAAAACTCTTGCCCGCTTCTTGTCATAACAAAGTAAAGCGGGTTTTTTTTAAATGAAATTGTTGTGTAACATGTTTGTTTTGTTTCCTATATAACAAAACACTTAATGTACGCTACCTCGGGAAATAGTGGGTTTTATTTTCCGTCGAGTCTCAATGTTTTCCGAGACGAACATTCAGACTTTTGGGAAAACAAAACTCACTATTTCCCTCGGAAGCATACATTAACTGTATAATATAAGTGTTTAGGGCGGCGGGGGCAGAGTTTTAGAAAAGGGCACATTCATTTTACCTTAGCAACCACACGAAGAGCAAACTCAAATTTACAAGTACATGCATGCGAACTTGCAAATCCACAGGAGAAGCCATTTTTAATAATATCATTTATAATAATATGTGACCCCGTGCAATAATGAGGTTTTTATCAAGACTATAGTGAAGTATAGTTAGTTAATACTAATCAAATACTTGTGGGTTAAATTTATTTATATTGCCTTTCTTTGTGAAAATCCTTTGTGTAAAATCTATTAGATTAAAAGTAGCTGGCATGATGGGAACATTCTGCCGGCCTCTCTGCATGGTCTCTCTTTGTCTTCTTCACCGACACAACATGTCATGTAAAATATTCATTATCATCTCTAAAAATTCGCTCTTGGTGGCCTAATCTTCTACCAGTTTGCTTGATATAGTAAGCCAATATCCTACCTTATTTCAAAAAGATTTCAGGAACTGATGAGAAATAAGAACCGTCACGAAATTTTAAAAAAGCTCTTGCCTGATAAATATTAATCGAAACTACAGTTCGATCGTTTCCAAGAGTCGATGCTTTTCAGAAAATGGAAACTCGCTTCATAGCATGACCGCGTTAATATATATAATAAATGAGATGATTTGACCAAGGTTGTGGGCTGAACGTTACACGCAACATATCGTTTAATAAAAAAATGTTACGAAATCGGTATATTTCGCAATTAGAATGGCAAGTTCTTCCTATATACACGCGATGCAACCGCGCGGTTAAAAAGAGATGCTGAAAAAATACGGCGATTTTAATTGAAATCTCTGCGTTTCGTGGAAATTCTCTTTCCAACGTTTGACGGGCCTGGTGTGATAAAACGTGATGAAAATCCCACCTGGCCTTTGGCGTGCAGAAGCTAGAATGCTATAAATATGCGGAGTTTATCTTTTCGGGACACCATACGCCAAGTGTTTGGAAGCAGTTGTGAAAACAAGAAGTAAGTACAGTAGAAAACAATGTGTATTCTTTTTCTATTTTAAACTGTAATGTGACTTCACATCAAGTTCTTGTGTCATTTCTATCCATGAAAATATGTCATTATGCCACAAATGCCCAGGCTGTATGGTCACAATGTACGTAAAAACAATACATTTTCAAAGCAGTTTTTGCTTGTAAAAGAATCTAGCGTGGCGTTGTCAAATCAAGTGGTCAGTTTCATTATCGTTTAAGTATAACTGTTGCCGTTGCTCGATTACATTTTTATACATTTCGCCCAAAAAGGCTGCTTTCCTCTTGAGAGTTTCCATCAATCGAGATTGTTCACTCTAGAAGTTTCAAATATGCTTGTTTTGTTTCAAACATGCTCATTTTTATCATATAGTATTAAATACCTCAACGAATACATGCTTAGATTAAATGCTTTTTAATTTTACATTCTTCGGCAAAACATTCTTGTACAATTTATTAATTTTTGCATTTTTTTTATTAACGTTTAGCTAATTCTTTACGATTGTTCGAAATGCTTTTGAAGATTCTTCTGATTGGATTTTGCTTCTTTGCCACGAAGGTAAACTTCGTGATGTCAGTGTCGGGCGACTGTGATCCTCGTTATTTCTGCAAACGCGGAATAACTTTGGTTGGAGGAAAAGGAATCGAGCCAAGAAAGACTGAATCTGGAAACTCAGTTCTTAATGGAAAACAGGATTATGATTGGAAGAAGAAATTCGACTGGTTTCATCAAGGAAACTATGTATAATAAGAAACTGTATAGTTATAATGTATTCCAAAGATAATGTATGTTTAAACCGTAACACTAAAATATAAATTGTTCTGCTGTATAACTCCTATTGCTCACACGTTTTAGCATTGGGTCATAACTTCAAAAGTAAAAAATAAATAAAAGTCAATCGCAAGTTTCTTTATTTTTAGATTTTAAATATGTAAACTTTGAGTCTGCAAAAAGTAATCGTGTGATTGATTAATCTGATAGACAATATCGCATTTGATTAGCTTGTGTACTCTCATTGGTGGTATGGTGAACCTCTCTAAAATGCCTTTTAGATAAGTCCGTTCCACCTGCCACACGTCTTTATCCACGCAAACGCATAAAAAGTATAAAGCGATCCTACTTTCTTGACAAATCATCTCGCTAGCCAATCACTTGGACGGATTTCGGTTTTCGCTCAAATTAAGTTGCCAACAGTGAAAATAGGCGTAGGTGTAATTTTCGAATTTATTTTCTTGTTTACTCTAAGAAATTTGAAATAAAATTGAAGGTTATTATAATTACCCGCGAATATCCTTGTTTTTGCCACATGGTGGTAATTATTTTTAATTTAGACACAGGAGTTAAAGCTAGAGTGTCTCGCTCCCATGAGCCAATGCCCACCTTTCTTTACGTTTAGGAAGGAGGCTAAGAGATTTTTGTGAATTTATTCTTGAGAAGGTGTATCGTTTCTATAAATTAACCTGCGTAAATAAATGTTTAGGCTTCAGGCGAGGCTGAATACATAGATGATATACCCAGGCTAGAGGGAGAAATTTATGGAGCATTTGTTACAACGACAAAGGTAATAAGAACACAGGGTCTGTTGAAAAAATCTATGAAGTCTTCAATGAGAGAGATAGCTGTATTTGCGGAAAACGATACGACATGCAGTCCAAACTTTTCAGATTTGTGTTTTAAACATTTCGGATCATTGGCAGTGCATGGCATGTAAATTGATTTTCCAGCCAATGAACAGAGCTTGTTTGCCATTACTCGAGCTTTAACAGCCTCGGATGAGATTTCTTGAAAGGAATTTTTAAAAAAGAACTTTAACGAATTGGAAAATGTCAGGAAAAGATCCAGACAATTCTAATTGAACTTTTTCCTGTATCGTTTGCAGCAAAACAGCGAAACATTTCAGCACGGTACACCGAAATTAGGCAGTGCTCTCCCTAATTTTGACATCCTGCTAAAATTATCATTGTTATAATCTTTATATTCTTTTTTTCAAGGGTAACTGTAAGCTATCAAGCGTGGACGTATCTGAAGTTTTGGTAAGAAAATCAATATTGATCGATATTAGTTTAAGTGATGCAATTTTGTATTAGCATTCCCATTTCAGCGACGCTAAGAAGTTAATATCGGTACAGTGTGTACTGTTTTCATCATTCGTTCACGACTCGTACAGTAAGTACCGAAAACAGGAGCAGTCGCGTCCCCCCCCCCTTTTCCCTCCCTGGCACAATCTAAAATAGTCGATTTTCGGGGGGGCATCGCTTTTGTTTCCAGTATTTACTCTGTGCGGAATCAGGGCGAATAGACCTTCAACTTCAGTTGTGATGGTACTAGAAATTCCTTACACAAACAATCTCGCATCAAAGTGGCTTCGATGAATCACTACCGTCAGGCATCGTGCGCTAAAGGAAAAGGATTATTATAAGCATTTGTACACATTTTTATTGTAAACATACTTAGACTTACCTGCGGTCATGTTCAGTGCGAATGGAATTATTTAATATTATTATTTACATTGTGAAATATGTAAGATAGAACATTATATAATAACTACAATGGAACACGCAATTTGATTGGTTAGTAAGTTTACAACGCTTTCTGAAAGTCTCGCAATATCCCGCGTGCAGTATCACGCTATCCTGTTGTCCTGCACGGGAAACCATTTAGTATTCCTTTACTCTACAATTTTGCAGGCTCAACAGCAATAACCAGTCCTTCTTGTTACAGAAAATACCCGGCGTATTAAAATATATTTCTGCAAAAGATATTCCTGGTGAGAATAATTTTGTGCCTGAGGGCAAGGAAAAAATATTCTGTGAAGACGATGTTGAATATGCCGGCCAGGCAGTTGGAATGATCATTGCAAGTACGTATGGTCATGCACTGCAGTAAAAAGGGGTGCATATGCAGCCTTTTCTAGCGAGAGACAACCTCTGTGCCTGCTTAAAACCACTTTGACCTACTGTGTTGCCACCACGTCGAGAACCTTGAAATTTTCAATTGTGTGATAAGAATAATTGCACGGGTGAAGGCCCGGGTTATTAGCGAATGAAAGCTCAGCATATAAAAAATAGAGGTTATGATTTTTAATTATTAATTCACCATGCAAAATTTCAAGAATAGATTTGTTTCATTTTGAATTGTTGCCGGTCTTAAATGATGTTAATTATGTGCAGTTGTAAGTACGAGAAAACAGAAAATATGTGTTTATAATCATACGTGCATGTGTATATGTATACTCTAGTTAGCCAAAGCTTGGCCGATGAAGCTGCTGAGAAGGTGAAGATAACGTATTCCGACTGCAAGAAACCAATCATATCAATCCAAGACGCAATTGAAGCCTCGTCATTTTTCTCAGATCAAATTGTAAATCAAACCTTTGGCGATATTGATGGTAAGAAATAAATTGAAATTTGTTTTCAAATTGCAATTGAGTTTGTGGGAGGTGTAGGATCGAGCAATTACACACATTAAAAATTGGCCTGTTTTTGGTAAAACTTTGTGTTCACCACTGAATAAAACTCGTGATATTGAGCATTGCTGGTGTATTTAGCAAAACAGTAAATCCAGCTTTGCTCCAACAGCTGGCAACTGCCGGAAATATTCGTCTAGAACATCAAATAAATTCGACGTCCTCTTCTACTGGATTTCCCCTAGTTTCAAACTTTCGTTGCCGTTTCATGATTTATACACCAGATTTATTGTTCGCAGGAGCTATGGCGTCATCAACGCATATTATCACCGGGGAAATTTCACTAGGGACACAACATCACATTCACATGGAAACACACGTATGTATAAATTCATTCATCGATGTCTTGTTTTAAATCTAAAATTCAGTAGTTTTTAACGTACATCTGTATCGCTATCGGTTTCTCTTTCGTAGATATTTCCATGTGTACGTACCTTAATTTTTTAAATATTTTTGAAATAGACGTGTCTTTGTATCCCAAGCGAGGAAGAGATGAAGGTCTACGCTGCGACACAATCTACTAAGACCACTCAGATGTCAATAGCTCAGGTTTTGAACATACCAGTGAACAGGTAGGTTACATGCCTACGTCTTTTTATGTTCGTATATTTTTGTGACTATTTTGTGCCCTTAAGTACACTGAGTTAAAAGTTAACTAGTCTTTTATACAACTGACACGTAAGGTGCTAAGGTTCATTCCAACTTTAATAAAAACAATACCAAAACAGTCTGCGGGGGCTTGCACCAGCGGTATTCCGCAAAAGAATAAGGTCGATAAAAAGTCCAGAATTTTATCGAGGCGTTATCAGACGTCCTTTCATAGTTCTATAATCAATCATCATCATAATCATCCTCTGATAGTAAAATCATTTTGCCGTCAACTAAAGATACGTGTGACGAAATCTAATGAACACAATTTTGCCCACAAACGTTGAAAGAAAGACAATAATACCAGGACAGCTATGCAGACAAGACATGCTAAATATTTATCAGGCTACAATACTCAAATCAATCTTATAATAATTTAGTGTCAGTGTTTCATGCAAGCGATGTGGTGGAGGTTATGGCGGGAAAATATTTCGTGCTGCAGTCAACTCAAGCGCTTGTGCTCTGGCGGCTTACGTCATGAACAGGTAATTGAAAAATCTTAGTCTTAAAGATTTTATGAATAGAACACGACCTTTTATAATCTGTATTAATTTGGTTGATCTAAATTTATTAAATAAACTCGTGTTTTAGACCTGTGCGTTTGAGAATGAACCTCAAAACCAACATGGAAATGGTTGGGAAGAGATTTTCTTACCTCGCAAAGTACAAGGTATTTTCACACTGACGTGTCAAATTAAAACCTTTCAAAATTTTAATCCGTGCAAAGTTTTTTGCTAGAATGCTAGTTGATCGTTATGAAATGGGGCATACTAGTTGAGGCAAATTTAGTAATATTTTTAAGTTAAACGTCGTCGTTGGATATAATTATTATTTATTTTTTTACAAATCAGCAGCGGGCGGAATCACAGCCTTTCTTGCAATCCGATTAGCTGTAACAGTGGGCGAAATCCTAGCCTTTCCGGTATCTTTCCTGCGAACGAAATTAATTGATTTGGGCAGGATTGAACACGCCCAAAGTCTTCACAGTTGTTAGCTATCAACATTTTTGTATTCTTTTATACCCGAATCGGTTTCAACAATATCGTTCAATGTTGTTGACAAGTCTGAACACAACGTTCAATGCTGTTAAACCGCGATCTAAGAGTTTTTAGCCCTGGTGATATACTTCATGTAAGTATGACTGTAATGTTTGAGATGAAGTTAAAGTTCTGCTTCCCTTCAATTTGACAAAATATTTAGATTGGTGTTTCGGAAGAAAGCTTATTGAAAGGCATTGATATCACATGTTACGCGGCTTGTGGAAATGCGACAACTGAATGTATACTAATGTTCTTCCCTCTGATTCTGGATAATGGTGAGTTATTAGTGCATGGTCATCAAGTTGTCTTTTTTGCTTGAGAGGAACAAAATAGCAGTCAACGGCAAACTGACTTCCGTATCCCTGCGTTTTTGGATGTTCAATTAATTACTCCGGCGTCAACGACGGAGTTGAAAATTCGCCTAGGTTTTGTTTTTTTTTTATTATTTTTCGTCGTCGCAAGTGCGTTTTGACGCGAAATATACTTGTATTTGAAAAGGGTATGTGACCGTATTTATCTACGTCACAGTTTTGTCTCCCAAGAGTTGTGGTGCACAGGAATTTGTTAAAAACGTTACTCAGCTGCAAATAATACCTTGAGCATGCGCATTAGCTTCAATTTTATAAACAATAATCAAGGTCAAAGGCAGCGGCAAATAATTGAATCTGCTCGCCACCGACAAATCACGATATTTTGCTCGACCTCGTTTAATAATTGGCTCTATTGTTTTGTTCTTCTTTAGCGTATTATTGTGAAAATTGGAAATTTCAAGGCGTACCTTGCAAGACAAACACAGCAGCCAATTCCTATACACGTTCACCAGGTATCTGTATAATTATAGCTAACGACATATTGTGACACACCTGAACAAATCACTCGTTTACTGCTGCAGCTGCTACCGTTCAAGGCTTCAAGTTTGCTTCAAAACACATGTTTGACGTTTGAAAATGTAGTACGTTTTGCCACGCATCCTTATCATATTTGGATGACACTGACATGTTTAAATTGGGTCTGTTTACATAGAGCGAGTTATCCCAGCTAGGCGAGGTGAAAAACTGCATATAATGTAAGACTAATCAGGTTAAGCCTTTGATGTAATGCGTTTTTTCCCTTGCCTAGCCGGGATAACTCGCTCCATGTCTTAAATTGGGCCAAGAGGCGAATACCTCGCAAACATAATGCTCATATTGAGGGTAACTAAATTGCCAGTAGTTGTATCCAAGTCATTTACTTATTTGATAGCATCGCCGTTTGATTTTGGTAAACATCTGATCACACGTTACCACTGATTGAGGAAGAACTAGTGGAATATTTGTACATTCTTGCGCGTTTCTTCACGAAAATGCGTTCCTGCGATTTTTCAGGGACATTACCAGCGGCTTTCATTACTGAAACAATGATGAATCACTTGGCCAAAGCATTAAACAAGAGCCAAGAAGAGATAAGAGAAATCAACTTCTACCAGAAAGGACAGGTTTGTCTTTTTTTTAAAACGTCTTTTACAAAGATTCAATATGTACACAACTGAGGATAAATTAATTGATCATAACAAAAAAGATGGTGGATGTACATATTACCAGAATGCATTGCGGTCGGAAATCGTTTAAAAAAGCGAACTGACGTCTTGTAAAGGACAGGCATAAAACAGGAAGTTATTTTCTTCGCTGTGTTAAAATTTCACGTAATTAAGTGTTTTCCTTGCCATCTTTTTTCAGTCAATCATTCTAAATGCCCGCAATGCATTCTGGTAAAATGTACATGCCGCCATCTTTTTTGTTACGGTCAATTACGATTTTGTGGCACTTCACTCGATGTAGGTAATTTCTAAAGGTTTTTTTAAAGGATCTCAATTTTGAGTGGAAATGATTCCACTGGAAATTAAGGCCCTTTAAAAACCTTTAGAATATATACACAGCTATTGCATGTTACGAAAGGCGATTTGTTTTCTTTCAGACAACCTACTATCAACAACATCTGCCTTTTTGCAACATGTCTGAAATATGGCAAGGTGAGACTGTAAAAAATTTATTGAACGGTCTAAAAAACTTCAAATCTAATAGAAAGTCCGGGAATTGCTTGTGCTTGCTTTCTTTTCATTTTGACAATTATCATTTAATATCAATTTATTTATCGAAGAAAGCCAAGTATTTTGCAACGTGTGAATCATTTTTTCCCGGTAATTCGTCGCTGATGTACAACTTTAGTGGAAGTAAAATAACCATACACTTCAAATTCGTTATAGTCAGTTGAAATTTAATTGCAGATTTGAAGAAATCAAGTGAATTTGACAAGCGTAGAACTGCTATTGAATCATTTAACAAGGTTTGGTTTACACTTTATTTTCGTCACTTTCGCATCGTCCCACTGACTGGGACTGTCCCAGTCAGTGAACTCCAATACCGATAAAGTAATACAGCCAGTACCTGCAGGCTATATGAATGTCATGTTTATCGTCTGAATTGTATATTCAGGTTCACCGGTCACGTGGCTTTTAGACATACTGACGGTGTTTTCGTCTTATTATGTTATTATGTTATTTTTTAATTTTTAATGATAATCTTGGTAATCTTTGTTTACCTTGTTTTTTCAAGGAAAATCGTTGGCGTAAGCGAGGAATGAGCATAGTGCCACTGAGATGGGGCGTTGGGTATCACCCAGGCGTTCGGTTTACCGCTTATGTCGCAATATTTCGTAAAGATGGCACTATAGCCATATCACATGGAGGGGTTGAAATAGGACAAGGGATAGACACAAAGGTATACCATGTGAATATGTATTGCTTGTTAATAGAATACTCGAATGTAATTTATACACTTCGTACAACTTCATAGCATCTGTTTAATTTATAAACCATGTTTTTTTATTCTATTCTTTTATCTTTTCTTTTGCATTTTTTGCGTTCCAAATCAGCGAGGAAGTCTCGCCCGCTATTGAGGTGGCTTTCAGTTGGTGTATGATAACATAACTAAATCATATCAAGTTCTGTTTGCTGTGTGTTTGCAGTGTGTTTGTGGTCTGTTTTATGCCTGCCCCCAGTCCTCCCTCCCCTCATAACTTTGTTCCAATGCAATTTAGCTACAGATGTATGACTCAGGTATCAAATTATTCAGCATGCAGATAATATGAAAGACATTTTAAAACAACATTTATAGGAGGCCCGCTTTCCCTTCACGATAAATAATAGCATCATGTTATAGATTGTTTTTTATGTGATTCAATCCATGCAACCACAAGCATGCTGTGTATTTCATTTACTTATAGCCATTTCTCCCATTTCGATTTTTTTATACTGATAATTACTGATGCAAAGCCGCGATCCTCTTTTTTAAATATCTTCAATTTTATCTAACTGCAGGTTTGTCAAGTCGCTGCTTACACACTCGGCTTTGGTCTGACTGTTGATAAGATCGCAATTAAACCAGCAACAAGTTTTCTAAATCCAAATGGTATGTCAATTAGTTCCACATTTCTCAGTAGATTTTCTTATTTTTATATGGAAAAACCAACTTTTAATTTGATTTGATGCGCTTTTTACTTCGCCTAGCCAGGATAACTAGCTCCATGTAAACATGCCCTAAATTGGGCATAGAGGCCAATACCTCGCAAACATAATAGGGAGGTTAAGATCGACTTCCGCTACGAGTACCGATACCAATATTCAGTCACGCGCATGCGCAGACGTAACAATCGTCCAAAATGTGATAACACCGGAAGTCGCGAGTACCGTTTTGGGGCTGTACCGAATTGTATTTACTGTATTATTGTCATTTCCTGCAGTTTTTTCTACTAATATTATTTAGTTTTTAGTTGTGTAATGTTTCTGCTTTGTTTGTTGAGACTTAAGGATTGTGATTAGAGTTTTTGATGTGAATACAGCCGCTATACTCCGCCGTGTTTATTTACTTACGGAAGTCACAATCTTAACGCTTTAAAGTTTCCACGCTGCCAAACAGTAATACGTCATGTATTTTTGTATCGGTACTGGTAGTGGAAGTAGATCTTAACCTCCCTATCAACTGATTGAGGAAGGAATAATGGATCATTTGTACATTCTTGCACGTTTCTTCATGAAAATGCGTTCCTGTGATTCTTCAGGGACATTAATACTAGTGGCTTTTATTACCGAAACAATGATGAATCATTTGGCCAAAGCATTAAACAAGAGCCAACATGAGATCAGAGAAATCATTTAGTTCCACATTTCTCAGTAGATTTCTCAGAAGTCAATTATATAGGGACAAAAACATCGTGACATCGTGGCAGTTGGAACTACCAAACTGATTTTGTGTTACGTGGAGAACTTGAGTGCCTTTTCACTGATATTGACCTGGAAGTCAGTATTCCAACGTGTCGCTCATAAGTGAATTCCGCTATTGAAAGAGGTCAACAGTGTTATGAACTATCCCCTGAAATACATTTTTTTGTTCACAGGTGCAGGAACTGGGGGAAGTATAACAAGTGAATTATGCTGTGAGGTGTGATGAGTTTTCATTTGCCTAGCTTAGTGTAAACGATGTAACGGCAACACAACTTTAACTCATTAGTCTGACACTAGACTTTTAGTCTGAGTTTGAGTAGGAGGTAAAGTACTAGTGTTATTTAAAAACCAAACAGGCCTTTGGTCCGCTTTTCAGTGGTGTGGGGCAATGGAAGGGGTATTTTTCCAGAATCCTAGTCTTGAGGGGAAGGGAGGGGCTAAACCATGGCCATCAAAAGTTGCTTCGAGAATTCATCAAAGGAAATCTTGGAAGGATAACATTTATCAAGGTCAAAACATTCCTTGTATGAAATGGAGTGGACATCTATAATTAAGGGGCATTTTATTATCCGCTTATCGACATATCGGCATATACTATTAAGCCTGTTTAAACTTTTTATTGGCTGAACTTTGAAATTATTGATTTGAACAAAAAATAAAGGTACTTTGAAGACGAACAGAAAAAATATTGAAATTCATTGAAACAGTTAATTCTCAGTTGAAAAAGAATGGGGAGCCCTTCAAAATCCTGAGCATCCCATATGGAATTTAAATACATGGTGATATCATTATTTCACGTTTAACTTATTTAAAAACTGTATCTTGTGTTTGTGCAGGCGGTCATACATTGCTGCAATATGCTGAAGGAAAGAATATCACCCGTAGCAAAAGATATGCCACAAGCCACATGGCCTGAGATTATTGACAAGTGTTATGAAGAGGGTGTTGATTTGTCTGCAAAATACATGTATGTATTTACATGTAGTGCTTGTAGAAATTACTGTTTTAAATGATGAATTTTGCAATTCTCATACTCTGGTGCCTGTGTCTTAATTGGCTGGGTGTGTCACTGATCTCAATATAGTTCGAGGCAAATGTGAACAGCGCCATCTTTGCACTCCCAGTTCGTGGCTTCACCTATTGGTTTCTTTTTAGGTTGTTACCAAAGCCTCCTCAGCCGTTTTTTAATTATAACATTTTCGCTGCGACTTGTACGGAGGCCGAGATTGATGTGCTCACTGGAGAGACAGAAATACTCAGAACGGATATTTTGTTTGACTGTGGAAAAAGGTAGGCACAGAGTTGCAAAAAAGCTGCGAGTAGGCGGGTGCCACCCGGAGGAAGGTTTGCTTTGAATGAGGTTTGTGAGGAAGGTTCAAAATTGAACACTCCAATTGATCACATGCACGTACCAAAACGTGAAATATTTCTTTACGCTGGTTGCCTCTTGACTTAGTGAGGTAACGTCATTTTGAGGAAGGTTTTCAAAACTTAAAACTTAAATCCTACCGGAGGAAGGTTGAACTCCTTTTACAACTCTGAGTAGGCTGTAGGCAGTGATTCCGTTAACTTGCACAGTACAAAATTGTGTATAAAGCTACATAAAACCAACAGATCTTGATTTACAATACTAGCTATACTCATATTAGGGACGGGAAACTCAATCTTAGACGGGAAAGTTGATGGCAAAAACCTGAATATAAATAGGGATAGATAAATTTATACGTACGATGTGTGGGTTAATAAAAGGTGTCGTAATTATTACGACCATGATTTTGGTTTTTAAATAATTCAGCCTTGTTCCGCCCATGACCGTACGTGTTGATATTTGAGAAACTCGTCTGATTTTTCCGTCTAAATGCGACGTCTGAATTAGGCCTAAGGCTAGTTTCTCGTCCAGACGGAACTCCCGTCCAACTTACCCGTCTTTTTAGACGGAAAAATTCGGTCGAGAAACTCGTCTGTGACCAGATTCATATCTGACAAGCTTCCCGTCTCTGATATGAATTCGGCTAATATTGGATAATAGTGTGCGAGGAAAGAGATTGACTATTTATTAACTATTTGTGCGAGGAAATGATAGGTGGTGTTCTTTTTTGCAGCATGAATCCTGAAATTGACATTGGACAAGTGGAAGGAGCATTCATCATGGGTCTTGGTTATTGGTTGACTGAGAAAGCAATATATGATCCTCTGTCTGGTCTGGAACTTACTAATGGAACATGGGTGTGTATTTCTTCTCAATGCATGGGTAAAAAAATGCCTTATTAGTATGGCGCGTATAATGAGGCAAGCTACACTTGTTTGCTATAAAGTTTATGTGTTCGACTTGAAAATACCTACTTTTATTTTAGGATTACCACCCCCCGTTTTCAAAAGATATTCCAATAGATTTCCGGGTGAACTTTATTAAAGATGCCCCAAACCCGCTTGGTGTTCTTGGCTCAAAAAGTAAGTTCTTTATTGAGAAATTCAATGTCATGTGTCATGTTATATTTTGTAGTATTTTTGGTTTATGTGCATTAAAATGAGATTGCATTTACGAGCAAAAGAGGTTAATTGTAAAATAGTAAAAGCGGAGTATTTTATTTACCTCATTCAGTGGCGTAACTAGAATGATAATACACCTTATGCATAGTGACGTAACAAACCGTGATGCCTGCAGGGAATTCTGGTTATTTCAAAATTCAAAATTTCAAAATTCAAAATTTCCCGCCGTGACTACTAAGACCAGAATTCCCTGCAGGTGTCACGCTTATTACTTCATTATGCCTAAGGTCTATTGGGGGTGGGGTGGCGTTTACTCGTGTATTCAGTTCTGCTTCTGTCAGACGGATTTCTATTGTGTAAGCTATTGCACTCTGCATTTACAAAAGAATACGTCGGACACAACTTAATAAGCTCGCACTCCTCCGACTTTTAAAACTAAACAACATGCTTGAGATAAGCGAAGGATTTATATGCATACAATTTCAGGGAGTATTTTAAATGCAATTTTATTGCAAATTGGCTCAAGTTTTCTTATTCGTAGCCCACGCTATAATTATTAGGTCGCGCCAGTGACTTTCTCTTATGCGCTCACATTAGTATATGTTAATTATCAGTTTATAAATTCTACGATTCAATTATGCTCTTGGCTTTATTTGTGGTTTAAAGCTACTGGTGAACCACCTCAGTGTATGTCATCTTCCTGTTTGTTCGCTGTCCAAGATGCGATATATCACGCTCGTGAGGAGACTGGGCAAGACAAAGATTACTTTCCGCTTGATGGTCCAGCTACAGTTGAGGTCACACAGTTGAAGTGTTTAGTTGATCCAACACAATTTATTATTTAACGAATGCGAAAAAAATTTGAAGAGTGAGAAACATAACCTCAATATTAGTTTTCAGGCGAAGATAAAATTCTTATGCCGACCATTATTTAGCCATTGAAAAAGGGGATTAGTCGTTTCTATTAGATATAACTGATCAATAAAATTTTTTATTCATAGCACGGATGAGTCGAGGTTCTTCTAAGTGGGGCCTAGCCAGAAAAACGTTAATACGAATACCCGATCTTTCTCGCGCACAAATATGTGACAATTTCCATGAAAATAAATAATAGATACCAAGAAATCAGTTAAAAATCAATAATAAAAATCGATTGCTTAGAACATTATCGGGATTGAGGACTCGTTAGGACCGCAGAAGAACATGACAACATTATGAGCGTGACGTTTTCACCAACTGCTAAATACCAATTCAGCGGTCCAGTCAAATCGGCCTGATGCATATAATTGTCCCCCGCCCCCACGTTTTAATAATTACCACATCGAAACCAGGAGGGGAAAGTTTAATTAGATTCAAGCAGACTTGTTTAAAAAATTTGCACATATTGTCACACAAGGCCCTTGATGGCTGACTCTCATATGTGGCAATCGTTTATTGGCCACTGATGTTTATTGCTGGCGATGTGCTTTTTTGTCACCAATCACTGACGAGGATTCAAGGCGGGACATTAGGCACAAACATGTTACGCGTCAAACTGGCCGATTTCGATGTTAAGGGCGGCCTCCACCTACTGTTATACGTACAAAAAAATTAACTACGACGGCCGGTTTCGTATCACTGAGCATGCGCCAAGTCGGCCGCACTGATTGTACCAGTGGACTGTATGTACAAAGTGTGTTTCGCCTGCGAGCAATATGTTTCGCCTGCGAGCAATATGCGCCTGTTCGCAGGCTGGAATGTGTGCAGACAGTGCGATAAACACGTCATATTGATGCATTAGCAAACTCATAAAGTGATCGCAGAAGGTTATGAATTTGTTATGAATTTGTTTCTACGAAGTTCGCTGACTCCGGTCTAATGAGCTTTTGGGAAACGATTATCAAAGTTTGTGTATTTTTTCGCGGGAAACGAAGAATTTGTGATTACAATATTATGCAATACAAAGCAAGTTGACAAAAAAAATTAATTGAATTTATTGAATATGCTGTAACTTTCCTGATAGGCGATAATCTTTCCTCAATCCCACAACAACAATCCTCCATCGTTGTGCGTGTTTTGAAAGCTCGCACTTTTGCCGCACTTGAGTGGGTGTTTTTGAGAACCTGATTGTGAAGGTTTACCTTAAATCTTTCCTTGATTTAGAGGAGTTGTTTTTCTCGATCAACAATAATACAATTTCTGGGTCACATGAGCGTGAGTGAGTGCATTCCTTGAGTACAGGCGCATAGTGAAATATTTAAGTTGAGTTCGCAACCGCTACCTGTAATTTCTACCTTGCCGTGTTCAAAACAGAACATTGTTTCTGACAGGTTGTGCGGTTTAGTGAAAGGGTCAAAGATAGCGAGCTCTTGTAACATTCGCCGATCGTTTGCACAAAGTGGCAACACATTGGCATTGCAAGCCCAGCGAAACTTTGTTTGCACTAAGTAGGATAAATAAATAAAGTGATGTATGTATGTATTATACGAATGTATGTATGAATGGCAAAACCATTTGTTTGCAGATAGTGGGGGCACTATATTGCAAAGCTGAGTTGCCTAACTAGCGTTTATTTTCGTGTTGTGCCTCACGTCTCACGACCCGACGAGATTACGTGTTGTCTAATATGCTTAGCTTATCTGGGGATATATCTTTCAATTATAAACGTCACCGTTCACCCCGGGTTATATTCGTTCGTAATTGATATACACTGGTAATTTATATACATATACTGTAGTTAATATAGATATATTGTATTCTAAACTGTCTGTCTGACTGTCTCTAGGCCTCAGCTTCGCAATTCATTCTTACAATTTTTTACGTCTCATCTATAGATAGAGTATTATAAAGACAAGTTTCCTGTTTGTGAATTTAGCATAACCAGAATTATGGCGCCATTTTTTTTTAATTAAATATAATTGCAACTATTACTGAGGCATTTCTTTATTTTCTTATGTAGAAGACGTGATATAAATATGCTAATATTCCCAAAAGATTATTTTAATTTCTTTTGTTTCTCTGCCTCCTCATAGTCCTTGTGTCTCCTTGGCATTTGTTATTGAAACATATATTCAGTTGATAATCGGTAACCATAGGAATACATAAACACACACTTCATGTGGCAACAATAATATTATAATTATAGAAATATTAAGATATTTTACGGAACTTTTATGTCAACACATCGCGGTATGTATTTTCGTCTGTGAAGATTTACACGAAGATTCATTTAAATCCTAAGCCCGGAACAAAATTATTAATTTCACGGGCATGCAAACGCTTCCGTGTTGACTTCCGTTGCTAAGTAATCTAAACACATTATCACCAGAAGACGGCAGCTGTGATTATGGCTGGCATTATCCAATCAAAAGGCCGCTGCGAACAGAGCACGGATACGTTGTCGTGGATTCGCTCTAACATTTGAAATAAATTTAGGCCTTTTTCTTTCAATTTCAATAACAATACTTTAAAGAGTCTTTGTGTTGACCTGCATCGCCACTTGATAAACATGAAACGTGGTCACAATTGGCGATGTACGCAAGGCCTGGCATCATGGGATAACAAAAATAATAAGATTTAGTGTATCTGTGCAAACCGCAGCGGAAAGGACTCGGTGTATATGCATTTTATACCTGATAACTGACATCATATAAAGTACAATTGTTTGATGCACATTGGTGTACAAAGAAATCGGGTTTAATATTTACATATATCAACAAAGATGATCGATATTCTCGTCGCTCAAAAGGACTGCTTGGAAGAAAATTGTGATTACTCCGACAAGACTTTATCGAAGGACGACATTAACTGTGAATTAAATGAATCGTGCTGGACTGAGGATGAATGTGATTCAGATGAAGATGAAGATGAACTTAATTTAAGTTTTCGCGATGGAATGAAGCGAAGTGCATCTGATGAATTTTGTCACGACTTGAAGCGGATAAAATTTGACAATAATGTTCGAGATTTGTCAAACAAATTCTCATATAAACTTGATTTAGTTTTTAAAGTGGACACAAGCGAGTCGGAGACGGGAATGAGGAACAATCATATCAACAAACTCCAAGATATCTCACACAAAAGTGTTAAAAAAGCCAAAGATAAATAAGTTAATGAATGAAGCCAAATAGCGAATAAAAGTCAGTATCATTCGCTCGTAATTTATTCACATCTGAGACTTACACAACTGATAAGTTTCGAATACAACTATATATCTGTTTCAAAATAGTCCTGAGACCTGGATTAATATGCACCAAAAGCAATCTTGCTAGAGCAAGCAGTAATGATATTACAAGACAATAAATAAGAAACGAACGAATTAACGCTAATAAAATTAGCTAGCATTGAAGGGATGAAAGTGCACTATAGAAGTATGTACAATTTGTGAAAATAAAGCATTGTACATCGAGTATAAAGTGATTTTTCTTTCTTGAAATGTTCTGTAATCGAAATTACGACTGAATAAGAACACAAAGGCTAAAATCTGTTGTGCATTTGGCCACAGAAATAGTGTTATAAGGTGGTTAAAGAGGTTGACCGCAAAATGAACACTAATAGATACCCTTATTAGATTATTAGATTGCGGCAAACGGCAAAGTCTGAATAGAGCAGTTATCTATTAAAAGATATAGCTCGGTTATCATCAGACCAAATTATAAATTATTTATTCCCTTATAGTGTAGAGGTCAAGGAGAGTTACCTGAATTCGTTTACCTTTAAATTTGCCGTTAGCGGTTTGCAGTATGCCTTCTTGTTAACCTTAAAGTAATACTTTGTTTCTGCGGCCGGTATAACCGTGATAATTTTTAACGTTCAAACAAGCAACGAAGCCGAGTCTTTGGCAAACCAGTTTTCAAGCTAAGGTTCATTTTAGTGAACCGAGAGACCGGAATATCTATATACTACAGATACGAAATGCTCATATGCGTTTTCATTGACTTTATTTAATTCTTCAGTATATACATTGAGATTCCCAACCTCATTCCCAGGGTATGCGGCCGACTATGCGTTGAGGCCTTGTTTATATACCGTAAATGTATATTGTATACGCTTTAATTCTCTATAGTGATTCGATCGTGTCATTCGTACTAAATATATGCAGTAGTTCGCCGTTATCATTTGCTTCCCGTCTTCTGGTGTGAGTGAATTTCCAAATTGGTTTGGTGCGTTCATCCATAGCTTGCGGTATTTATAATGCAAGAGCCTGCAAAGGCTTTAAACTTCTTGACCTTTAACGAGCGAAAATTCGTTTTATAAACTATACAAACTAGCTATTACACTAAAATTCATGATCTGAAATACATTGAGCAACTCAAAATGTGTTCAAATAGTTTTTAGCAATTTAACAGTCGCGTGTGGCTGTTGATATAAACAGGATCCTCATCGATTTTCTATGTTACGCAACGGCAGTCTGCTTGAAAACCTCAAATGGTTTCTTATCATGGAACACTATACCAGGCTTGAAAACGTTTTGCAAACCCCAAACGCAATTAAAAAGTATGATCATATGCACTATATAATCTAAAAACTGTGTTATAATGTAAAGATTTCTTGGGGTAACGTCTAGAGAAAAATGACGTTTGAATCAAAGCTGCTTTTGTATTCACTTCATGCGTAGACAGCGTTGTATAATGGCGTTGAACATTGTTGATAGCGGCATTTATTTGGCGCATTATATTTTGAGAACCGGTTAAGAACTTACTCAACTTAGTTCACTAACTAATCCAAAGAATTAAGCTAATATGTAGATAAACTTTGAGCGGCACCGCGAAAAGGTTTTATGTTTTGAATGTTTTATGTTTTGAATACGGCGCGACTTTTGAATACGACTTTTATACGTATATAGCCCTGGAGTGCATGAGCAGAATTCTGCGAAATATTTCTCGAAGTAGTGATAATTTTATAGGTAAAAATATCTCCTCTCAACATATTACAGGATGGAAAATTCTGGCGCGAATACACGTATACAATAATAGTTACCGTACAATAATAAGCAAATTTAATTTTTGCTTTTTACTATATATATAGTATTAGTTTGAACCTAACCACATTAGGGATCATTCTACAAGAAGACTTTATGACTGCACGGAACAAAAGTCCAAGAAATGTAGAAAATATGAATTGTGAAAATAAAATATTTTGTCACTGTGTCGAAAAGCCTCTGACTGCACTGCTCAGACTGACATTACGCTCATGCAGAACATGAAACTGTAGCGAAATAATATACGCCTATTTTGCTGAATAATATGTAAAGGAGGCATTATTGCTGTATGTATATGCCTCCTCTTGCCAGTCTTGGTCAATTTGAAACTTTCAGGAAAATATAGCTAGTATTTCATCACATTATAACCAAGGAGCAGCGTGGCAGCGCCTTCAAACAACAGGCAGAGTCAGGGATTATTCTATTGTGCAATAATCTGAACCAATTTATGCAGGGCACAAATATAAACAACATTTTGTGCTGTGATAAAATACTATAGCATCAAATGTGGTATAACAACTGCCTAAATAAACAAAACACTTCTGGACGTTTCGACCGGAGGGCCTTCGTCAGGAGATTTACTCAGAGTTACTCTGACGAATGCCCACAGGTCGAAACGTCGAGAATTGTTTTGTCTATTTAGGCAGTTGTTATACCACATTTGATGCTATAGTATTTATCACAGCACAAAATCATTAATGTTGTTTATATTTGTGCCCTGCATAAATTGGTTCAAATTATTGCACAATAGAATAATCCCTGACGCACTTAACACGTATGTACACATGTGTCATGCACTTGTGACTATGATGACCTACACGTCACCTATTCGTGTCGTAAAATTGAGCACGAATGACAAAAATTAATATTTTAATTCGGTCCACGCATTCTATGAAGAAATAATTGTAAGTCGAAATTGTCACGAGCTAATAGCGAGCTTTAGCAGTGACTACGAGTACGACTACGAGTACGAGATTCGTCATTCTCGCGCGTTGTTTGCTTACGCCATCAGCCAAAACTCGTAGTCGTTGGGCTTTCGAGTACGAAGTTTATCAAAAAACTCGTACTCAAATGCCCGGCGACTACGAGTTTTGACTGATGGCGTAAGCAAACAACGCACGAGAATGACGAATCTCGTACTCGTAGTCGTACTCGTAGTCACTGCTAAAGCTCCCTATTGACATGCATGGGCGCGTGCTAAGTGCACCAGTGCCGCCAACCTTGAGAGGAACAGAAGCTACGTTTCATTTTCATGGATGTTTTGAAATTATATTATTTTATTTTGAAAAATTAACACACGGGTAAAAATTAGGCACTCCGCTCTAAGCATCCATTATAATGGCAGGGGATAAAGGTGGGAGGTGCATGACGCATGCCTTGATATCGTGGATTACAAAGGGATAAAAAAAACATAGGCATTTGAACGAGAGGTCTAGACGTTGAGAGTCGGTTTAATAAGCCGAGGGGGGGGGGATGCATTAATAATAGTTTACGGACGAAAGATGTTTGGTTACCCATGGTATTTGGGTGAAAGTATCTGATATATACTAGAAATATTTGAACTGAATCACAAACTTCCTGGTTACAGAAGATGTATTCAAGTTTTCTGGCATCGTAGGGCATAGGCAGGCCTTTGCGTGTGGCAGGGCAGATATGAATCACCTTCATTCAAAAAAATATGACACATTTATATTTCAGAAGTTAAGACGGCTCAAATTGGCAATTTAAGGCGCTTAA